TACTTAAAACCTTTTTGATATGAAAGTTTCAGAATTTTTCATGAAGCCATACTCTAGCTCTAGATATCGCGGAAAGAAGGAGATGTCCTTAAATCGAGTAGATTGTTTCCATCGACGTTGTTAGGAATCCTTGCACGAAGGCAACGATCTACGCGACGCAAAACATGATACCAAACTTTGATGTGCAACGATCGTTAACATCTACTGAATAATTTTTGAAAAAGGTTTGAGAAAATTCTTATCAGCTAGACTTAATTATTTTATTTAGAGATGAATTTTTTGCTGCAAGCCTTGAGTTTCCTTGGAAAATTTGACGGCAATTCTTTTGAAAGATTCTCATATTTTGACCTGGTAATATAGAGTAAAAACAATGTTTCTGTTTGGGAACTAAAACTATGCAGTCTACAATAGAGAGTATTCTCATCGAATTTTGAAATTTTTTACTACGCGCCTACTTGAGAATGAATGGATAGCCACGTCGCATCCACATTCGCAGTCGGATCCACAAAGAGGCCTGATAAGCATATCCTATATCCAAAGAAGCTTTTTAGCCACATTACTAGGAAGAAATTTTAAGTCTACAGGAAAAATAATGTGACGAGAAGAGAAAAGAGAGACACAAAATACAATTGAGAAACCTTCTTTTACAGACTGCCTGGTTTCGCAACAAAAATCATTAGTAGCGAGATAGATCCGAATCCCAGTGTGGTTGAGAAGCTGACGCACAGCCACACCCCACTCTAAATCTGCCCCAGACTTACACCCTATACGACATCTGCACTGAAACGCATTGTGTGACACATGCAATATATTCACGCATAACTGTCACAAATTCTGATATCAATTATCTTTCGTAGCTGCCATCTATAGGTCCCAATTAGCAATACCTTGAGGGAAAGGGAAGCTTGAAATTTCCGCCTCCCATATTGAGCCCACTTCTCTTCATCAATACATATCACTATATCACATCGATAGTACTCGACTTGACCTTTTTAACTTGTCGATTTTAATATGTTCTGTAAACATCGAGATAGCAGATTCTATGGGACTATGATGTAATGCCCGAAGATATTGATTAAAATCGTCGACAGCGACTTCCGAGAGCAGTGACAACTAATTTTAAGTCACCAAGGCGTCACAATCTAGCTTTTTCTGTATGAGTTTACCATGTCCATGACCTTGGGATAGGTAATGGCAGCTTGTGAATCACTAGTATAGTTTTGCCAATACTGAAAGAGTACTAGAGCTATCAACGGCAACCATGAAAAAGCTATGTGCTCGCGTTTCGATGGAAGGATGTGTTTTTGAACCCCACACTTCACAACCATCATCCACAGTTCACCCTTTCTTGCATGCAAAACTATCTATGAATCAGAAATAAAGCACAAAGCATTAGCACTGCTATAGATGGAACTTGTATCTCGACAGTCTCCATGAGTTCATTCTCACAGGAGTCATTGAGAGAAGCTGGGGTCAACTCTACTCATAAAGTGTCATCGACTATACTGACATTTTAAGAGTGGAGAGAGATGATGAAAGTAAGAAGAAATTCTCAGTTTTCTGTGAATGAATGTTTCTTATCACGATATGGGCACTGACGAGATAAACGCTAGTGCCAGTAAACTCAATTAAAAATGATCGACAAGAAGATTACGTTCTTTTCAAATATCAGTGGATCAATCAATGTCATTTCGTAGAAGTACCACCGGCGCAGAATTCGTATGAGCAAACGGAACAATTTTTAACAATTGTCTCTGACAGTAATATCCAATTTCCTCAGAAAACATCGCATGTATATTAGAAACATTTTACCGTAGGACTTTGACGTATGACCTATCTGATCGGAGCACCAAGAAAGTACTTTCAGAGTCGCCGCGATCATTCTAACCCGACTAAGCGAAAATAAATATATTCAACCTTGAAATTAGAAAAGTGGATGTGCGCATGCACTTAGATCTCTCTTTTGCATTGGCTTCACATCCATCGTCCAACCTGAAAGCATGGGTGTTCTTCGACATGCACTGACATAGAGCATGGAAGAAAACTATTCAAACTCACTTTTCTAATCAACGCGAATAAGAGTGCAACTGCTTAGTGAAAAGGCACACATGTCTTGTTGCTCTTCGTAGTTAATGTTTATAACAACACCTGCATGTTATTCTTGTCATTCATACGTTGCTAACGGACGTCCAACTATTCACCATTCAAACAAAAAATGGTGACATGAAAGAACGAGAAAAAAATCCATTAGTTTCTATGGAAATGATTTTTATTCCAATGTTGCTTATTCAGGAGAGAAAGTGAATAATGATTGTGTTAAGTTGTTTGACATCGCTTCGCAAATTTGTAGAGCTACCTTTAGAAATCATACAAAGAAAGTTTCTCGTAATGTAATTGATGAATGAGTAACATAGCGAGATAAAAAAAAGAGAAAATGCGCATAAAAGCTTGATTTCAATCATGAAACATTTTCGATAACAGTTGAAATAAATAGGAGACCAACAATTTCGGCCGTACTTAAACTAACTTCATTGGCCCCTACAAAAAACATTGATATGAAGCTACTACAACGCAGTCCGTTTCCCCCATCCTAGTTGTGATTCTATTCCTAGCCTTGCGAGAATCGTAGAAAAAGTGCAATAGAGGGCGCACGAGACAGCTAGACATGGAGAATGAGAGACTTTTCACTTCCGTTCGTTCTACTGCCCGTTGGCGCTTGTCATCGATACTAGATGATGCAAAATCTGCAGGAATATTCACTACAAAGATTAATATCTAGACAAATACTACCAAGAGAGAAAATATCAACAAAAAATAGAAACAATCTTCCCTATCACAATGTCTTCGTTTGTTGAAAACTGAAACATACATCAATAGATACAGACTTCCATAGACTGTCGATTGATGAGATCATGAAACACCAATCAATCAATACAGACTTTTCCAAGCTATCTCTTGATGACGTTATTCTCTTTCTGCAATTGAAGGGACATATGCTGATAAGAACTTCAGCAGCGTTTTCGTATTTTTTATGGGATTTGCGTCAGTTTTTACATGTATTGAGCACCTTTGATTGTTATTCGAGAGCCGATAATAATCTGCATCGACTGATGTATATCTCTTGCCATGGCAGACGAATGGATAGATTCTGAGGACCACTCCCTGGATGGCACTCTGGGCCTTTGTGGAATTTTGGCTAGTTTTTGCCTATTTTTCGCAGTGTTGATCATTTGCTGAGAAGTATTGAATCTCTTAAAACAAAATCGACTGTAGCATTGAGTAAAGTACGACACAGGTCTGGATCAACTGATAGGGCAGCCTAATCCTGAGTTTCACCTCACACTTATGGTAGTGGATAGGTTAAACCTCTAGGATTTTCGATGAATTCCTTCAAGTTAATGTAAACCTTGGATATTTCGATAAATTCCGACGTGAAATCATCGATTTTGAGGGACTTCAGTCTTTCTTACGGCGCTTAACTTTGTTGAATGGTGATTGGTATAATATGTAACGAAATCCATCGGGTAACTACATCTGCCTTCTGATTAGTTTCTGTGGAAGCTTCACATCAATATAAAAAGTTTTATTCCTTTAATTAGTTCCTATATTCCATTGTACTGAGCAGGACAACATAGTGTAAATGTGCATGCAGATGGGGGTCTCTTTTTGACTCTCATACACAGTCACATTGTGCCGTACCTCCTGAGTACTAAGCCATTTCGTTCGGTAATATGTCATCTTGCTCACCACTACGGACGATTGGAACTACTAAAAGAAACAAGATTTTTTGTAGAGGTCAATGATGCCAATTTCAGCATGAACACAAAAGGCACTGGAATTTCAGATAGCATCGAAAGTTTTGGCAGAAAATTTCTTTGGTCAAAATTCACGTAACCAAATCAAAGCAGATTGAACGTAAGATGCAAGTAATTTGACACAAGACCCAAAGTATACGAAGAACATTCTAAAAACAATTATCACTCAGAGCATAAATGAAAAGTGATTCACGAGAACAATCAAATCGACCAACTATGTGTGTTCTATATTAGCAACAGTCAGCGGAGAGATAAAGAAGGATTCAAAAGGAATTCAATAGCCCATTATTGCTTGTGTATATTCATGTCATATTTATCTGTCAAACTAAGTACTTTATTTGGGTAATGAAGATTATATTGCCTATGATTTGGTCAGAATACAAACATATTGTGACATTTTTAAGTAACCGAAGTCTTTGAGCATTATTTTAGCGAATTGCTGCAAGTATTTCATTTGGTAGCTTTCTTTAAACATTACAAATCACAATATTTTCCGAGAAATATCACATATATCCAGGAAATCAGAGATGTTGGAGAAGTGTAGGGAGGCGCGAGAGATGTCAAACGAACTATGCACATAAGATTCCATTACCACAGGTATATATTTAATATTCGCGTATCTCCAAGTACGTCTCTATGGGAGATTATGCATCTTCTCTCATAATTTCGTAAATCTAACTACATTCAGTCAAACTCATGGGATGCGACTATGCATGTACATCATTTTTTCCTCATCAACACTAATGAGATGTGGCTGTGTGTATATTTCCTAGTGTGTTTCTCTTCCTTTCCGCACTCACAGTCATGAGATGTACCGGTGTATTCGCATTTTCTTCCTCATGATCGATCGAGAGTTCTTCTCTCAAAATAGTTCAACTTTTAGAGATTATTTTCGAAAAGAAATTGACTATGTACTGAGACCGCTGTTGTTATTAAAAATACGAAAGAATTATGGGCTATTTATAAATTAAACGATTAAAAGAATATTTAATAATAACCTTGAAGCACTCATACAGAAAAAAAAGTGATTAGAAATAGATTTTTCAAAATAAGATTAGTAATTTAATGTGACATGAATAGTATGAAAATAAAAAGAGATATGGATAAAAATCTACTGGCAATGGAATATTAAGAATACACGGATGTGTATACTTGAAGTATGTTCAATGTCAAAATGCGAAATTCTCATTTGTTATTTAATAATGGTTCCATGCCACTGCTTGATATCAATGAGCGTCGACCTGATGCATAAGCACTTCCAAGTAATACAAATATGGAGATAACATGTGCCGTTTGATATAGATTTGCTGAATAACCATTATAAAGTACTGTTTGTGATCCTTCCGCTAATGCAGCTAACATTGTTATTGTTGCTATAAATAAACAAAATGGTCCAGAAAGTACGTATAAATCATAATAACGACTATCTTGAAATTTTGCTGGTCCAATGAATGGATACAATCCAAGTATATAGGTTCCAATTATACCAAAGGTAAGAAATAGAATACCAACAATACCTAAACCAGATGCTAATCTCAAATGAATATAATCATCTGTCGAATATGGATAATTTGTACAAGATGCATTGCCTGCATAACAAGTATAGTAGAAATTTGTACTTGTGAATGGCGATGTATTATTAGGTGCATCAGAATATACAATTTGCCATGCAGGTGTACCAATACCGATGCAAGCAAGAATAAGAGCACAAAGACCAAGAATAGTAGCAATATACGCTGGAATTTTGATATCTCGTGGATCAACAACCATTTTGATTTCCAATGGCAGATGTACAAAGTATTACGCAAAGTCTATTAGTCGAATACACGAAAATCTACAAATACATACAAGAAAGACTAACTTCATGATACATATATATGTTCAGGTACTCTTATCAATTTTCGTTCATGAATATCTATGGAAAGAAAATTTAATTGATGTTAAAAGAGAATTCAACAATTGTGCACTCTAAATACATAATATGGACAGATATTTTCGGAAATACGTCGTTATCAGAATGCAACAAATATCATTTATTCTTGGGAAGTATTAGACATATAAAAAAATTGAAAACAATCTGAATCTTTCAGTCTTGAATTGTCGAAGTCTAGATTGGTTAAAAAATAAGGATGAATTAGTAGAAGACTTTGAGAAATAGCAATGCGCAACATCTATTAGTTTTCTTACAAAGTATCTTAGATATCTATCATTTTCAATACAATTTTATAGAGCGATTATTGATAGAGAATAAAGATTCAAAATTGTTCTCTTCAGTCCTTTGTAATTCATAGTCAATTTTATTTTTTAATATCAACATTATATTCATGCCAGCATGTAAGAATGATTTGTCACTTTTTCCTCGTTTAGACAAAGTACACTGTGACCATTACAGTGTACTACTTCAAGCAGGGATATGACTGCCAACTAGAGCCAATCGGATTCAGAATATTTGAAGCCAATTAAAATAACTATGTTGAGAACCGAACTCGAGCACTGATCCGGATTATTTAACTTTTTTGGACCTTTGACTGGAATCCAGATCCAATTCGTTCTCTGATTATCCCCCAAAAAAGTTTTTAATCGATTTTTATAGTAGCTGGGAAGATACGAGATAATTTTTTCGCTTATTGAGATTCAACAATTATCACATCTTACATATTTCTCAGAGTATCTAAGTGTTGATTATAGAAGAATATGGACACAATTGACTGTTACTTTTACAGTAGCAGTTGCCGGTGCAGAGTCGAAAGTGGACTAGCATTCGGATCTGGTTCACGGTGAATTTCCAGCTCCGAGTCCTACTTGAGTCCAAATGGATCCGAGTAGGGTTGACTGTGGGTGTGGCTCAAAATGGAACATTCACATCCACATCCTAGTGCTATGCGAAGTAATATCAGGGAATCAAAAATAGTAATACAGCAATCTTTTCACTGATATACATTTTCTTTGAAAAACTTGAATTAGCTTATGAAAAGCATGTATTGAACACTAAAACTCAAATTCGGATTCTTTTACCATGAATGGCTCTCTGATTCATGTAGTTTATCGGCAAGAAATAAGCGTATGATCAGTGCAATCCTCTAAAGTGCTTTTATGAAGCAATTTTAAATGTGGCGCATAGCTTTCCCTGCTAGTTTACCACTAGTCCAATAGTATCACCTGAAAAGCTGAGCAAATGTAAAATACAGAACACCAAAGCCTATAGATGTAATGGTTTGAGTTTCTTAACCTTTCAATAAAACTTGCGCTTTCGATTATTCTGATAACACTAAATGTTCAAAAACATGTGTTCGCAGGAATTATTAGATCGAAATAATGGGATATTATTTGCCACAAGCGTATAGTTTTGACTACCTGCCATATAAAAACCTAATGCCTACATAACTATGGTAATAAATGACTATAAACATAAGACTGACTTCAATTTCAATAAGTAATTCAATTGCTCTGATGTAACAATTATATTAAATTTTTGACATATCAGTTTCTTACTTTATCTTCTCATATCTTATAACAGCCCCCAAAATCTCTCTCTATTTTATGTCCTTTGAGATTCATGAAGAATTATTCTCTCATCTATCTATTAACCTATATCTCTATGTTCACTTCTAATTCCTCAGTACATCTCTTCTATTCGATCTGAAACTCATAATTTCAGCTTGCTTACTTTTCGACAGTCACTTTCTTCAATATCATATATTATGTTAATTTCATTTCTATTTAGAATACAAGTTACTCTCAATCGCTGCTTCTATATTTGCTTGTTTCTTTTTTATTCAAATTTCTTTATCTGAAACACTTATTCTAATATATAATCGATCTGTGGTTCGTCTTGCACTATTCATCACATGGTACTCTTTCAACATGATACTTCAATTGGATTTCATACTTTGATATAATTTTAAACAGTTCCACAAGCATCTCACACTGTTATCGAGTTAATTATGATAGCTTTTGGCTCGGTTAGCACCGACAGCCACATCTGATAATTTCTAACATTGGTGTGGAGGGAAATCGAATGAAATTCTTAATCGAGAAGGTATGTATGATTACATAGAGAGGGGAAAACACACAATATAATATCACAGAACAGAAAGTTGCTAAATATGATGGAATATAACTTGGTTTTGGTGTATAAATCATCTGATTTCAAATGATTGACAATGATCTTTTCATTTTATTCTCATTTGGCAAAGTTAAGAATTAACGAGTAACAGCAAATTTATCCAAGGTGAACGTATATATATTAGCTTTTACTAAACGAAATTTGGTTTGGGATCTCCTACTAATTATAGATAGACATATACAGTCGTCGAAGTAAATTATGTGAAACTTTTTCGTTGTAAGTCCTCATTTTAGAATGTGTTTTCTAACAGTTAACCACACTTATTCATTTTACTCTCTTCCCAGTATTCTTCTTATTTTCTCATGCTGCTAAGAAAATACTCACCTTGAAATAAAAAAGATGCACTAAAAACTAATGTTTTTCGAAATGAAGTAACACAGTGTACAAAGTAGAACAAGTCAACCTCTCTCACTCTCTAACAAACGCTACTGACGTTGAAACTATATACTTATATGCGCATATTTCATTTCATACTTCAAGGTCAATTTTTAGAGCAACAACTGTATTTTTTTCTTCTTATTCATAGCTTGATGGCAAACATCGAACGATTCATTGTCAAGAGAATATGTTTTAGACGAGAGAGAATGAGAAGAGAAATCCATTACTGTGTATGGAGATGATTTTCATTCAAATGTCAACTTGTCAGAAACGGGAATGAATAATTATTATGTTTCGATTTTCAATCATTCTTCATGAATGTTTGCAGCAACTATCCAAAAACATACAGAACATGTTTGTCTACATTTGATCGATCAGTGATTGAGATGGTGACATGTAAAATAACATAATGTAAATAGAAACAACTGATTCTATCTATCATATATTTTAGAAAAAAGTTGAATCAAACGGTTTGTAAAATAAAAGATATGCAAGACGTCAGTATTTCGATAGCAACATCGGTTTATTTGAACAAGATTTTTTGTAATGAATAATCAATCAAAGAATAAACGAAGAATAATTGATAAGTAGGATGCAATGCATCGATCATCTATATTTTTCTCGAAATAGACAGCGGAACAATAGAAAAAGCATTGAAAAGGAATTTGATGCTCTGGTATCGCTCCTGCATATTCGCATCAGATTCACCTGTCGAATACAGTGCTCTGCTTAGTTACAAGTGACTATATTAGTGACTATTTTTCTGTGTCTATTACATTTGGTATCTTTTGTCCAGGTTCGAAAACTAGAAAAGTTTTACTCTGAAATCGAGTGTTGGTCAGTTCAGTGATCGTTCAAGAAACTTTCGTTCCGCCTAAATATTTGAATATTGTGTTCAGCATTAGTATTTGATAAGCTTTAATATAAAAAATGTTCACGGTAATATTACGAAATGTTTTGATCGAATCGATGAAGAATTTTAGGTCGAATACCTGTATTGCAGCCGGTAGGGTTTTGTGTTTGCTTACCTATATCGGTACCGATTTGATCGTTCAGATCGTATCGAAGTAGGTAATTTTCTCAGTATGAGCCATTTTTCACATTTCTCAGCCTGTAAGAATTAAATTAATCCCCTGATCAGTCATACCTATCTCTGAGCCACTATAGAAATGACACAGGGCTTCTGCTTCACTATTATAGTGCTTTTATGAAACATGATTTTCAATAAGTATTGAAGTATATGGAGATAAAATTGATCTTATCTTCTTCAGCTGGCTCGAAAACTTGAGACAAACATGTCAATGTTCTTGTAATATACTGGCAGATTGTGACAGACATTTCAATGTGTTTGTAATGGTGAAGTAGGTTTTTCGCCATGCTGGTTTCTGTTAAACTGTCTTCTATAAGTTCTCAATTGTTTCAAGCCTAGTAACAATTTTGATCACGAACATGTTAATTTGTATTATTTTATGTATGTCTATTTGACTATATAGATCAAATATTTCATCGCATTTTACTGCTACTGCAATCTTGAAATACAATGAAGTATTTGGTGTTTAATGTCAGATAGACTTCTATAAAGTGAACTCAAATTAATATGCACGTGACACATGAATTGATAGTAGATTTAAATTGGCTAAGAACAACCTGTAGAGGATAGCTTTGACATATCCTTGTAATACAGTGAAATGTAGAGTTTTCACTTTTTCTCCATTGGGTTGTCAGCAATAGTTGAAATAGTTCCATTGAATTTGATTTTATAATTCAATATGTATTGCGCTAAAAGCTATTTCTTCACTATCTGTTTCTATAAACTTTTTGTCTTTTGAGATTTATCAAGGGGCGTAATATTTCATAGGAGTACAAATTCTCTGTTAGATTTGTACACTAATTAAATGTTCATCAAATTTAGAAATTCTAAATCAACCGTGGATATATTCTGTCTCACAATAAATTTATTTTCTTATCTCATTTGTTTCTGCGAAAGATATGGTATAAAGAATCCAATATGAAAATAAATACGTAGAAAATTACAAAGACAAAAACTAATTCATTTCGTTTCAATAATATAACTTGGTATCGAAGTGACTTGATAAAATATATTAGACGTATTTTAATGAATACTAACTTAATAGAAATATTCTAACGCACGTTTTTCATAGAAATAGTTATTGATATCAGTAATTTTGGTTCAGTATCCAGAAAAAGACACATCTGTGATCAGTGCTTGAAGAAAAAAAAAACAAGGAAAAATTCCAAAAAGTCTATAACAGTCAGTATAGAAAAAGTTTTGTCTATGGACAGGTATGAAATTCTGTACCGAACCCAACTAGCGGTTTCATGTTGGCTGTTGTGACACTAATGTGGGATACGACTCTGGATGGGTCAAGGCCTAAATTACTCTATGGATGTGAAGTGTAGATACGAGTGAGTATATACTATTCATTCACCTGCACTTCTAGGCTCACACCATAATACATATCTGAGTAGTCTAATATAATGGTATGCTAATATTTTCGATATGTCTTTTCTATCTAAGTATCATTCGATGTTCTCATCGATCAATATTTTCCTTTTTAGTATTTGACATTTTTTCAGTGTTGTTTTTCAGTCTTCTTTATACGAGTCTCTATCAGTTAGCGAAACGAACTCACAAAACTACAGTTGACGATTATTCATTTTCTCTTCAAAGCATGTCGCATCAGGGTGAAACACGTCTCCATAGATGCTAATGGATTTCTTTTCTCGCTTTCTCATAGGACAATTGTTTGCTTGATTAGTGAATAGCTCGATGTTTGCCAGCAGGGTATGTATAACAACAAAAGCATACAAATGTTCTATTGAAAAAAATAAACCTTGAAGAATAACAACAAACGCATATCAATAAATAAACACCTGCAATCTTCATAATGCATGTATAAAAAGTAGCTCGACATGCTATGTACTGTAGGTCGTAGCAGCATATTTCGAAAGTAATCACTGTGTTTGAGTGTAGATCTTTGTTCACCTACATGGAAAGCTTTTTCAATTTTGGTTTTTTGATTTGTCAAGATAAACTCAAGCGCTCTTCACGTATGACATAGTGAATTTTTAGATCGAAGAAAATAATGTTTTGCAATTTTTGAAAAAGATTGATGAATGGAGAAGGCGCATCAATGTGCTTAGATGTTGCTTGCAAAGGTATTAGCTTCAAACACTAACGATACACTATTGTTCGAGCCAAACTGTTGTCACTATGAAATCTAACCGAAACAAGTTACTGTGTCTGACAGGGACATTTAATATCGTTATACAGAAGTAACAGTGGCTTATTGATTCCCTTTTGAATCTTTTTCTATTGTTCTGCTGTCTATCTGGAACAAAGTGCACATGATCGATGCATTGCATCCTACTCATCAATCACTCTTCGTTTATTCTTTAATTAATTGCTGATTGCAGAAAATCTTGTTTAAATAAACTGAGCCTGCTATCGAAATTCTGATGTCTTGCATATATTTTATTTTTTATACCGTTTGATTGAAGTTTAAAAAAAAAATATACGATAGACACAATCAGTTTTCTCTATTTACACTATGCTATTTCATATGTCATCATCTCAATCATTGATCGATCAAATGTAGACAAACTTGTTTTGTATGATTCTGAACAGTTGCTGCAAACATTCATGAAGAATGATTGAAAATCGAAACTTAATAATTATTCATTCTCACTTCTGATAAGTTGACATTTTAATGAAAATCATCTCTATACGCACTAATGGATTTTTTTCTCACTCTCTTTCGTCTGAAACATGTTCTCTTGACAATGAATCGTTCGTTGTTTGCCATCAAGCTATGAATAAGAAGAAAAAAATACAATTGTTGCTCTAAAGATTGACCTTGAAGTATGAAATGAGAGATTCATATATAACTAAGCAGTGTCAACGTCAGTAGCGCTTGTTAGAGAGAGAGAGAGACAGATTGACCCGTTCTGCTTTATATACTGTGTCAGAACATTACGAAAAGAGCAGTATAGTTGTTTTGTGAAGTTTAACAAGTGTTTAGTGTATTTTTATTATTTATAGGTGAGTATTTTCATAGCAGCATCCCAAAATAAGAAGGATAGTGGAAGGATAGCACAATTAATGATTGTGGTTAGCTCTCTCAGAAATACATCTTTGAATTTTAGGATACACACGAAGAGATTCCACAGAAGTTATTTTGATGAACATTAATGTTAATAAGAGTTATTTCTATTCATATGTGTACCCAATATATGATCTTGTTTTCTGATGAGACATGGATGAAACGTATCAAAAGATGAGTTTGTGAATGTTTTGATTGGACTAAGTTATTTGAAAACACAAAATGTAACGATGATGAAGAGTCACTTTCTCAATGAATAGATTCGGAATGATAGCAGTACAATAGACTGAAACAACTGTTTATTTAGAAGAAATGAAGTATGAACTGTGATTCGTGTTTTTTTTCTTTTGATAGCTTCAAATGGAAAGAAGAATGAGATTGATGTTCTTTATTACTGAAATAAAGATTTTCTAAGGTATAAAATATATGAGATTAGATTGATTCTATAATTGATCAGTAGGATGAGTTTATCTTGATTATCAGAATAGTAGAAAATAAAAACTATTTTCTGATTTGATTTAATATTTAATGCTTTGCATTCTGAATTTTTCTTAAAAGTAACGATATGGACACTCTTTTAAAGTGGACAGCAGGTTTTGAGTATAATACAAAATAATTTTATCGATGTTGTTTGAAAAATGTTTTTTGTAAATCTACAAGTATAAATGATATGGTTTATTTTTAGTATCATTTTTAAAAATGAGTGAAACTGCAACAGAATATATTGCACGTCATCAAAAAGTAGCATCTATCACTGCTATTGTTTTTGGCTCAATTAGTTTGCTTTTTTTATGCGTCAGTATTGGTACTCCAGCCTGGCATATTGATTATGATTCGACAGGAGTTACAGTTAAGTGGTATACAAACTTCTTTTATACATGTTACAATACAAATGGTACATGTTGGAATAATCAATATTTATATTCATCAGTGGTTGATTATTATGAACAACCACTAACAAAAGGAACAGGTGTAGCAACTGATTATTATCTTCGATTAAGAAATGCAGCTGCATTAGGTATAATTGGCTTGTTATTCGTTGCATTTGGTTTAGTTGCTAATGTATGTTTATGTATGCCAAGTACACAATTTAAAAAATTTGAAGGTCGCTTAAATTTATTGGCAGCTGTTCTACTAGCAATTGCTGCTTTGTTTCAACGTGCAGCAATGTCTGAAGGTGAACATGTATTTTCCGTTAATGGTTATTCGGGAAATCTGTACCGAGCTGGTCATGCATTAACAATTGCTGCTGTACCACTATGTGCATTTGTAGCTGGAAGAATCTATTTCTAAACTTTTACACAATATTTATCCATTAAGACTCATTCTTTAATTTTTATCCACACTGTAAAAAAATAGGCGTAGAATAGTATACTATCATATATTTTTATAGACGAAAGAAAAAAAAACATTTCTAAAGGTACTTATTTGATGCATTCAATCATTTTGTTCTTTGATTGAGTAAATCCTAGGCAGAATATACCTATGCGTGCAAAATATTAAATGTGTGTGACGATTTATATACATTTTTGAAAATTTATTGTCGTTAAAATCTTTACAATGAGTGTTATTTTTCTCGTAGAGCTGATATGTGGTTTACTTTTTCAACGCCTATTTGTTTTTCAATTGAGAGTTTCATTTCTTGCACACTTTTCTCCTGTTTGTCTAAATAAATACAATGTTTTTTTTCCTTTTTTCCCCTACTATATATTTTATATTTGTAGAAAGTGATGCAGAGCTGGTTAAATCATGAGCGTTTGAGCCTTTTGATTTAAATATGAAAGGTAGATCAGATTCATTTTGACACATCTCAAATAATGTTTTGACATATGTGAATGGAGATTCTTAATCTTTATGCAACAAATGTATTTCGAAATATTGGAATGTTCATTTCAGTTAAACCGAACCTTGTCTACTTTTGTTTTGACGACGTTTTAAAATGCTTATCCTAAACAAGTACATTCGCAGGCGTTCGAAAGCATTTTTATCATCTGTAAGAAAACTTACCTAGGTCATGTTACATTAAATTTGAATAATACATATAATTCGTCAGATTTATGCAGGAACTACACAAATATCATTGTTCCAGTAAAATATGTTGGCTTACATAGAAGACTAATTTTATGAATAGAGTCCCAGGTCAATGATTGCAGCCATCGTAAACGACAGTAAACGCGAAAATTACGGGCGAAATCGAGTCATATTTCACTCGTATGGTAGCGATGGGATTACGGTCGGATGATACCGCATCGCATACGGCGAAACACAGGAAAAGTTTGTTTTCGTCTGGCTTCTTCATTACGAATTTCGATTGAAGTAATGCGTTAGGATCTCCGGACGTGAGGAAATAAAAGAGGATATTTAAAGCGAATATTGTTCCGTAGGTGGCAACAAAGTGTGACAACCGCTTCTTAGCGATTGAAAACTAAATTTTGACTGAGTGAGGGATGTTGACATCTTCGATCACAGTCGCGAAAAAAGAAGAGTAAAACATTTTTAAAAAACATTAAAAAGATAAGAAAAATTAATAACAATCGAAAGCTGATCTCGGATTCAAAGGAGAGATGCCAAGTTATGTGCTGATCATTCCAAAGAAGATCAGCCTAATTTTACTAGCTCGATAATCAGCATTGACCCCTGATTATTTTCCACAAGTTTATTGTGCATTTTATCGCAACTCAATTGTTTCACTCCTGGGATCCCCCTCAGGGTTCGAATATTTTTTTTTTCGCGATTTCATCAGAAGTCCATTGAGTTCGATAGCGCTATGTATGCTGATTACCAATATCATATTATTTTTCAAAAGTGTTAAGATAATAAGAAAGATCTAAAGCACTCTTCAGAAGCCGTAAAAATCAGTTTTAGATTTGAAAGTCCATCAAAGTTCGAAGAAAACTACTGCCCATTCCAAAAAAGAAGGCGGGTGGGTATTTTTTGAATAAATTTTGGCAGATACAAAATAGAAAGCTGCAGTTTTCACCGTTGAAAAGAGACATCTGGCGCATCTATCGATATAAAATTGTTGAGATTCGTTTCATTGATAATTAGTGATCCGTGGTTCCCTTGAAAGAATAGCCTATTGCTGTATGAAGATAGGATCAATTTTAAACTTTGAGGAGTGGACTAGAACCGTCCACTCGACCTCTACAAATCTATGAAAGACCAACATTTTTATCTCGATTCATTCAAAGGTTATGAGCAAAATACTAACGATATTTGATCGAGTTTTTGTCAATTTTACCTTGTGAAAAATATTTTTCAAATTATCATTACTGATGTTTTCGATAATGACGAATCAATTGACAATGTTCTTTTAATATAGAACAACTCTTTTCTATCAAAATACTATTACTCGCAATTGTGCGATATTACTTTCATATGTTATTACACTGTTCACTTGAAATACATACATCATATTGCACAAATACTTATGATCAGAATGGCAATATCTTAAATTTCGTTCTTTTAATGACGACTAAGGAAGAAAAAGAGAGGAACAACACATATTGTTAATCGTCCACCTCTGCTGCTACCGAATCAACTTCTTCCTCTTCGTCGACCAATTGTTCCTCAACTTATTCAATGAACCGATCAGACTTCTTGAGCATGTCTTCGATCTTGCGTGTTTCATTAATATATCCAATAGCGGTTGCTCTACTTAAAGACATCATCCATTGGCAGGCGAAATGACCAACATCACTAGGACTAAAGTTAAGATTGTTGTCACGAACATAGTTTTTCAAACTAGATCATGCTAATTCAATCGGATTGAGCATGCAATGCTTGACCGGCAAGCTATGAAAATACATTCATAAATATAAAAAATAGTTAAGAAGGATTTCAACTAACTGTAAAATATCGACATTGTATTTTTTGACTGTTTCGTCGACCACGTAACGTTTTGGTGGTAGATTATCGAAAGCGAGCACAAGTAACTCGGCTTTAGTGACTTTAAAAGCAACTCTGATATTATGATTTATTAATCATTGTACGACAAGATCTTTTCGCCATGCTCTCTGCGGAGGGATAGTGTCTTCATTAAGTTGATTATGCCAAGTCGCATTATCCATAATCAAAACAATCTTGACATACTGGCCTAGACATGTCAACGATAATATTCATAGTGAAATGTTAGAAATTATATTACCCAACTGTTGTCTCAAAAGAGAAGCTGTTCGATCAATCCAGGTCAGAAAGTGTTTCGAGCCCATACTATGATTCTCATCACATTCGAATATATCGATTGTTTCCTTGTGGAAACCCGATTCGTTTAGAAGAGCACAATCGCTAGTCGTTTTCCTATAATCATAGACTATCAGTTGAAATATAAGAGAAATAATGAATACCTTTATTTTGCCTATGTCGCATTCGACCTATACCTGTTGTTTCATCAGTCCATACAAAATGTCTCTCTTCATTTTTGTTGCAGTATGTTTCATCATGCCAAAAAACCTTAGAGCCATTGTTGCGCAGTTCATGAATAGCAGCAAACCAGCGCGCACGTGCAGCCATAAATGAGGAGGTATCGAGTGGTACAACGACTTTCGATGTTCGCTTGTGTACAAATCCAATTTTTCTCACCCAACGCCACAGAGATGTTATTGCCTGATTAAGAAAATCAGAATCTTCGGCCAGAATGCGGACAAGAATTTTTTTGATGGTAGGATAGATTCGTTCAGCCAAAAGAGAATGAATATGAAATCTAAAATAAATGATCGTATTAATATTACTCTTCTGTTAAATTAAACTCACCGAAGAGTCTCTTGTTGTTGTTCGGCTAGAGAAGTTGATGAACGGCCAGAGTTTGATAATTTGTGTGGTGAACGAGGAACAGGAACACTAATTGCCATGGTGTCCGTGTTAATTGCAGACAAAGATGATGATGATGATGATCTCGATCATAAATTTTGAAGTAGATCAAGCACCTGAAGCTTTTGATTCTCTAACACTTGCTTTTCTTCCTCTATTTTTCTCTTCCTTTCTATCATGTCATTTTCGATTTCTTTCATCTCACTCTTTAATCTTTCGACGGATCTCATAGAGATACCAAGCATAGATGATAGTGGTTCATTAACATTGAAGAGACTGAATACTGGTCCAAACTTCTCCTTTTCGACAAATTTGATGACATTGAAAAATATTTGTTTCATGTCTTGAGAAAATTCATGGCCTTTAGGCATTTTTATAGTGAACATCGACAGTACAAATAACTATTCACAGTTGAAAATACGCTATGGTACAATTAGTAAGAGAAATACCCGAAACAGAACGTAAAAATATATGATCCAATCTACGTAAGGTTCTAAACGTGTTGCTTTTGATCATAAGAATTAGTGAGGATCTCCGCTTATTATCCGTTGCTTCTACCCCCGTTATATACGTAAGCGGAAAGATAATTAGTAAAATCCCTGGTCTGTATAGGGCCAGAGAACTCACTTAAGTTAAATACAATTCCTACCAGATACTTGACGGTTTGCAATATAATGAACCGGGATCGTTATACGAGTTCGTAAATCAGTTTACTGGAGAGATGTTTATGTATGTCGTTAATTAATAACGACAATATTAATAATAAGTAATTATAACATACACATGTACATCGTTTCCTAGTGTTACACACCACTGCTACTACAACTGAACAAAAAAAGAGAGACTCAAAGCGGGAAGAAACTATGGTGTATATATATATCAAAGGTCGAATGATAATCATAGGTTACATTAAATGAAAGAGGATAACAGAGATCAATGGACAAAGGACACTTTACTAAAAAGTTAGCGGCGACAGTGTCATCTGTTGACGCTAACAGTATTTGTGAAATATGATGTATGTATATCAGGTTAACAGTGTAATAACATATGAAAGTAATATCGTACAATTGCTAGTAATAGTATTTTGATAGAAAAAGAGTTGTTCTATATTTAAAAAAAAACATTGTCAACTGATTCGTCATTATCGAAAACATCAATAATGATAATTTGAAAAATATTTTTCACAAGGTAAAATTGACAAAAACTCGATCAAATACCATTAGTATTTTGCTCATAACCTTTGAATGAATTGAGATAAAAATGTTGGCCTTTCGTAGATTTGTAGAGGTTGAGTTGGCGGTTCTGGTTCACTCCTCAAAGTTTAAAACTGATCCTGTCTTCATAGAGCAATAGGCTATTCTTTCAAGGGGACCATCGATCACTAATTATTAATAAAACGAATCTCAATAATTTTATATGGATAGATGCGCCAGATATGTCTCTTTCCAACGATGAAAACAGCAGCTTTCTATCTTGTACCTATCAAAAGTTATTCAAAAATATACCCATCCGCCTTCTTTTTTAGAATGGACAGTAGTTTTTTCTCATTGTTTGAACTCATGCTCAAAGAAATACTGCAAGCAATGCCTTTATGTGTTACGAAAATGTCTTTTATCTTGCTACAGATCGTGGCATTTTCCAAGACTACTGGAAGAACAACGAACTTACGCGAAAGGCATTTGTGACACCTGGCGATAATGAACAATAGGTTGATACAGAAGATCTGGTCTCGTTCAATGAACAAAATAATCTAATATCTGCTGGTCGGTTCGGTTTTCAGATTAAGAGTCGTGGAAAGTGAGTTGAGGCATCAGCAATTGATAATATAATTATATCATGATCGCCAACAGATGTCAGCAATTGTCTTGTTAGTAAGCTTGATATAAATGGACATGAATGCCTTGTTGCCTATACTGTATCGCGACTCTACCACAGCTTGATATCGAGTCAATTCGATCTTGTTGTCAAAATTACGTTTATTCATTTATGGTTTCAACATATCTCGTTGTTCTCGAACAACTCTTCCTCAACCTGAACCACAAAATTGATCGCAAGCATCTGCCGCGATCTACTTGATCATATATCTAGCTGGTACTGACTATGAAACGTAATTAATATTGCAACTCGAAAAAATGCATACGTCATTCATTGTATGCAATCCTGGGAATCAAGCGTATAATCTCGTTAAGCGACTTTTTTTGCACTTGAAGAAGCGTCTCTATCTCTCATGGGAATTTTTAGCTATTATCAATTTTATCTTGTCCCTCACGAGCATCTGAATATTGTTGACATTTTTACTCGAACGATCATTGCGGAACATGTTGAACTACTCACTAATGTGCACATGAATATTCTTGAGTCTTCAGTGCCCTGGCATCTCCTGCAACGTAGCCATCGTTAGAAGAAAACAAAAGTCTAGAAACCACTAAATATAATTGTTTGATTTCATTTACAGGTGTCACCTCGTTCACCCAACAACGGATTTGGCTCGACAATGAAATTCGATTTGAGTCAGATGCAGTGGCTGTTTACAATACTCCCATCATATACAAAATTGAGATTGGTCATCTATCAATGTTTCAGTGACGTCGTGCATTAGTGCTTACTGTCGACAAACATGCAACGTTGAGAACATCTTTGACATACTATGAAATACCCAAGAAGTGCTCAAATAGCATGTACTCGTGTCTGACGAAGATTTTTTATCTTCTCTTGTCGAAACAACATGTATTACAAGTGAAAATGAATTTAATGCATTGCTTAACAGAGAAAAACACACTCGTTCACTCTTTAAATTCTAAGAAGGACGAGTTTTTCTTTGTCATTTAATAAGAGGGTCACAAAATAGTGGTTATTTGTCAGTCGGCGACGTTGTTCTATTTAATTTTCATTATACATGCTTCGATGACAATTCAGAGCGTGTCTTGTTTGAAGATTTTCGTCATACCTAAACGCAGATAACTCTCGAGACCAATGACAAACAATAGGCTGACTTCTCTCGATTTGTCACTGCATGAGAAAAAATGCGATGTATCCATTACGTAACATTTTTGACAGAGAACACTTATCAATTATGATGGCGATCGTTGGGCAATACTGTTTGATAATTGTAGGTATCTGAACATGACGCATGCGGAACGTGGTGCCTCTGTACAGGTTGATCTAGTTAATGATGATCTCATTATCACTTGGGCCTTACATTTTTCTATATTTTTCTCGTGCAGTTCTCGCTAGAAAATCGTGATGCATGTATTGGCACGGTCTGTCTCAACCACTATCATTTTGAGCTCAAACAAGTTCTCAGAATGTTTTTTATATAGCGCCTTGTCGCAATCTCGTTTGACAAACCACTCGAGAAACTTTTTTTTACGGATATACTTAACCAAGTTCGCTATCAGTTTCTCCAAGTAGTACAATATTTCCATGTACCTTGTGCAAAAATTATTGAGTGCCACCGTCAAGAGAGCATACTCCGAAGTACAAGACAGAGCTCATGGTCAGGAGGATAACATCTCTCACTCTATCTTCCCCGAATGTAATCGAAAGTTTAGTGTATAAATAAAAGTTCTTGATTCGAGTAGACGAAAGAAGATGGTCAGAGCAGAGCATGAAGAAATTGGTAAGGGTGGGGTGTAGGCGAAGGAAACATATTCATCCACGTAGATGAAGACGCATGTTCAAGCCATACACCAACGGACTCAATAAGCTAAAGAAACTGTTATGACTTAAAGGACTAAAAGGACTGAAAGGGCTGAAGAGAGAAAAATGTGAAAGTCATAGTAGCTTGAAAAGCATCAAAGTAAAACGGGATAGATATAATTTCTCTTAGACCCTTCTATACCTACACCGAGTCCGTACATTCTGCTAAGCTACAGTCATAAAATTGATCTTTATAATAGATCTATCTAAACGATAGTTTTTTCTGTGCCATACTGCAAGATGACTGTCTGAATGATAGTAGACTCTTACTTTGTGAAACAATGTTTTTACGCAAAAGTACGAATCTCAATGTTCATTTAACTTGTTTATGAAGTGATTCATTTTTTCCGAAATACCACTTTTGAAAGACAGCATTCTTAACGCGTTTGTAAAAATATCATTTTCTTTCGGTAGAAGGAAACTAAAAAACGCGTCCGAATAATATTTCAGATGAAGTGGTAACTTGAAGAAACATGCTACAAATGAAAAAAAGATCCACCTGAACGCGTTGCAAATAAACAAAAAATTTGTTTAAATGTGTCGAAATAAAAACAATTCCTTTAAATGCTATAATAATGTTTTCTCTTGAAAAGTTGGCGTTGAAACACTTTTCTGAACAAAAATATTTTTCATGCATCGTGTTACTTTCTTAGAATATGAAAACTCACTTTTATTAAGGTGAAATGAAATGATTGGATATAAAGTTACTCAGGTGCATACTTTGTATAGTGGAATGTATCAAAATCAGTTGTTTTCCATTAGGCTTTTCTGAAGATACATAATATGAGTGAATTTTTCTATTGTTGTTAGCTGGTTTTAATAAACGCAAGCAGATTACTCCCTGAGGATTGCAAAGAAATAGATGACTTCTGAAGTTTTCAGGTCTTCAGACTTTCATTGAATAACTAATAGAACGTAATGATCAGTTTATGTATAAAAATTTCATGAGAATCGATGAAGATTCTATATGATGGTTAACATTAATTTCAGTTTAGTTTCAAATGACTATTGAATTTGTTAGGAAATTCTGTCTACTCAAGAGCTCAACAGCTGTTAAGGAAAAAACCAAATGATTGTTTATATTATTAATATTTATAATCATAGTATTACTCTATATTAGTGACTGTGAATGGAAGTTTTATTCCAAATGATACGCACACATTGTTGCAATATGTGATTTTGATTACAGTAGTGTAGAATTCTGTAATTTATTTCAAATTTTCCACTATGCAACTCAAATTTTCGATAATTTCTCTTATCATCGAAACTCTTTTGATTCGCAAAGTCCTTTGATACTATCTATCGTACAGCAGAATTCTAGATTTTAATGTTAAATAGTTAAAAGCTCTGGTTGAAAAGTTTAAAAATCCAAAAAATATTTTCGAACTTTCCATGTAAGATGAAATTATTGATTTTTCAATAGTGATTAATACTTTTAATAAATAAAAAAGCTGTTGATACAAACTCTGTGGGATTAAAATGTGACACACGATGCACCTGCTGTTGTTGAGCGCAGGGAGATTGCTTTATTCTATCTATTTTGAGACACATTTCTTCAACATTCTTTTACATAATCCTACAAAAATGAAATAGAAATATTTCATGCATGAGAACGAGACATTAATGATATACGGTCTCTGATTGCATATCAACATCTGTAACGGAGAGAGAGGCCATTGCTAACGCGTCTGTAATCGTCTGTTGAGAGGAATTGATTTCAAGTTTCTACTTGTATACAGCAGCACTCCTTTTAGATCGTGTTTCACAAAAATGAATGAAAACAAAGTATGTCAATGATATTTAGTGGGTTTTATCACTTATACCACTACCTAGACTTTTTTGAGGTTTATTTTCAATATTTGAGATCTTAATTACATACATATGAGAACAAAAAAATGGTAAACAAGTAAAAGAACGAAAATTGCAGATGTCTGCTTAATTTTGTTTCTTTAACACTTTAACTTATCAGTTGCCGGAGGAAGACCAAAACATTGTCGAACTTTTTGATAATGTCTAACCCTGTTATCCTGTTGAGCTGTTGGCCCACATTCAATGCTATTAATTATTTGTGTTGTTGCTCCAAAATTGCCTTCTCGTGCTGGTTGGCCCATATTATTAGCATTCCAAAACCAAAGTGCAGTCGCTGCAGCCAACGTATCGGACTCAGCAACTTGTTCCGGATTTTTCAATAAATCAACACCAAGTGCATCACCAGCTCCCTTATAATTACATGGCCATGATAACTGAAACCAACCACGACCATAGTACTGTTTATCAGATTCTGCCTGAATTGGAGGACACCATGAATCTTGATAATTATTAGCGCATGCGCCTGATTGTCCACAATATTCCTCATACGTTTTCAAGCCATCTGTTTCATGTGATACATGTGCAAAAAACATCATAACTTCGTTTTGATTTTGTGCTTGAAAAGGTACCATTGTTAACGCGTCTTGATAGCCTAAAGTACGAATATAACCAAATATTTACACGTATAGATAACATTTTTTTGACAGTTTATTTTGTTTTTAGCTTGAGCATGTTTTAGAATACGGTAGTACTGAATAAAATCCTACTCTTTTATGAGACTGCTAGGAAAGCTTTCAGTATAATGTCTACGATATGAGAATGCGAAAGATGATGAAGTCACTAGAGACCTCTCATCATGTCTATGAAAAACCATCTAAAGATCAGCATAGTGATATATCGAGGTATTTGTTATAATTTGGAACCGACTGAAGATTTATTTTTCTCTTCAAACACTTCAACACTAATGAACAATTATACTTCACAAAATCATGACACTTTCAGTCCAAATAAGCGTTCAACAAGTAGAGCAAAGATTATGCAAATGATCAAGTCGCTGATTTTATAATTCCTTACTCACTTTTATCTGAAGACATTCATCAGTTGAGCTCATTTTTATTCTCCTAATACCTGAAAGACTTTCACCGATGTATAATTTAATTTTTTTTTCTTTCAGTTAAACCTTGAAGAAATAACTAAAAAAATAAAAATAAGCATTCCGAACACCGGTTGTTTATTTTTCAATTGACATAAAATCTATAGTATATACAAAAATTCAATCAGCCGATATTTCTGTGATGACAAAGAAAACGTTCTACCATATTACAGTGAATTCGATGAGCTAAGATTCGATTCTAAATTGACATAACCATACTCACAACTGTCACCAATGAGCAGAACAACTTTGCTTCATTCATGCAGATTTTGTCTCATACACTAGTAGGAAACTGTTATCTTGATAAAGTTCGTCATTCGGTAGAATAGAAGTCTTTCTGTTGTAATTATAAGACTATACTTTGCAAAAATGACAAATATATGCCTTCAAAATTTCACCTTTTTTCCTTATGGGTAAAGTCTGTTTTTAATAAAAATTGACACTTGTTTACTGAAAAACATTTGACAATATTAACTAATTATTTACTAAAAACAATTGCTAGTAACTGATTATGATTTGAAACTCATTCAAAAAATAAATAGTCACGTCTAGAAGCGTTGTAGAAAAGCCTTCGCATGGTAAAATTGAAATCATTCAATTTTCGAGATAAAAAAATAAATTTGATCGGTTAGTTACTCGTTTCTTTTGAATCTGCTACCTTGATTCGGACTTGAGGCATCACTTACTGGATTCAAGACCATCGATTACACTTGAAAAGCACTGTTTTGAAAAATACACAGCGTACTTGAATGATACAGAACTATTTATTCGTGACGTTGGCATTTTAGAAAATCAATCTCTTTTTGTCAACAAAAGAAGCATTGTAATGTTCAAAAGTGTTCTCAAAGATAGAAGAAGTTGTATCCATTTTCTTGACTATAAACAAGAATAATGAACAGATTTCAGTCGGCAAACGATGGAAGTTATGCTATGAAAATAATGAATTGTGTAGGATGTATTCCGTGGACATCAAAACAAGAAACTAATGATGAGAAGGTATAATCGAAATGATTTAGATAAACTTGTGCCTAACTTTCAATATTTTTATGGCGGAATTTTACAATTACCAAAGTACGCCTACCTTGCCAACGTTTATCACGGGTAGCTGGATCTAACTGATCAAAAATACAATCGAATTGTTCTCGAGTAATTGAAGTACTGTTATTACCACTTTCAGTTTGATTACCACAATATTCTGGTGTACTACCACAACTTAATGTCCGAAAGAAAAGATGAAATCAGATTTTATTATTCAATGAGAATAAATGAAATGTTCAATTCAAGCAATGCTTACTATCCCCATTTTGAACAGCAAAGGCCTGGTGCACATGGTGGTGGGCATCGACCATATTCAATTGGCGGGATAACTACGCCACCACTACAGTGCAATGGTGTATTACCACAACTAAAAGCAAAAACAGCAACACATGATAACTCGATCAGCGATTAATTAACAAGGATAGATATTTAAACTAAAAACTACTCACAATCCCCATCTTGAACAACAAAAACCTGGTCCACATGGTGGCTGACATATGGCGACGTAGCTATCATTCGTGTGACCATCAGAACAGTGAAGTTGTGTATTGCCACAGCTGATAGTAGGAAAGACATTTGAACAATGGAATTAGTTATTCCGTAAATAAGTATAAACACACAGTGAGAAATGTACTTACAACCCCCATCTTGAACAACATAAACCTGGTCCGCATGGTGGTTGACACAAGCCAGCAAAAGTATTATTCATTTGACCAGCACAGTGCAATGGTGTATCGCCACAACTGAAAGTAAGAAACACATCAACAATTTACTGAGTTATTGGTAAACAGGCGTGAAGCCATAATTTGAAAAGTACTTACAATCCCCATTTTGAACAACAAAAACCTGGTCTACATGGTGGTTGACATAAGGTGGCAAAAGTATTATTCATTTGACCAGTACAGTGCAGTGGTGTATTACCACAACTGAAAGTAAGAAATAAACCAATAGTCTACTCTGTTATTGATAAACAAGCGTGAAGCCATAATCTGAAGAATACTTACAACCCCCATCTGGAACAACAAAAACCTGGTCTACATGGTGGTTGACATAAGGTGGCAAAAGTATCATTCATTGGGCCAGTACAGTGCAGTGGTGTATTACCACAGCTGAAAGTGAGAAATAAATCAATAGTCTACTTAGTTATCGATAAACAAGTATGAAGCCATAATCTGAAGAGTACTTACAACCCCCATCTTGAACAACAGAAACCTGTTCCACATGACGGTTGACATGAGGCGGCATAAGTGTTATTCGTTTGAATACTATTATCACAGTGCAATGGTGTATTTCCACAGCTAATAGTAGGAAAGAAATTAAAAGAAGCGACTTAGCTAATCAGTAAAGAAGTATGAATAGACAGTGCGAAAAATACTTACTATCCCCATTTTGAACAACAAAATCCAAAGCCACATCCATCTTGTTGACAGACTTGTGCTGTTAATTATGAAATAGACATAAAAAGCGCATTCTATTTAAATGTCTTTCAAAAATGAAACATATTCACCGATAGACCTATTGGTTAGAACCAAAGAAAGTAGAACCACAAGAATAGTCTCTTTGATTACGTTCATTGTTGTACGAGCTTTTAATCAATTGTTTTGATAGAGGAGTTTGTCGGTAGTTAAAATACGAAAATAAACTTTTATTGGAGAAAAATAGTGAACAAATGACTATAAGAGCTATTGTATGATTATTTTTCTTTGTCTCTCTCGTTTTCTCCTTCTTTGGATGCACTCAAAGAAATGAAAAGAAAGATGTAAGAAATGATGGTATTTATTCTTTTGGCTGTTTTTGCAATAGAAATATAAGTACATATCGACGGTACATAAAAAAGTACCATCAAACTTTTTTTTCGTTTTTGCCCATATAAAATACGGAAAAGAGCAGACAAGAACTCTTGATGAAAAGCAGCTTCTTTTTGTCTGCGTATGTCTTCCATTCCATTGCAAAAAAACAAATGCATATTTGCATTACAAGTAATACCTCTCTGGTATTTCAATATTAAGATAGTATTTATTGACGATCAATTGTAAAGAAGGCAAGAAATTAAACCTGACTTATTCTCTTTTTCTATGTGTTTTTGTATGTAATATAATATAGTAGGATGGCAATGATCACCAAACATTTATATTCCTACGTTACATCAATTATGTATTAATAATAGTAAGAATCGACAGGCGATTATCTTCCTATTGATTAGCTTTTGTATAGAAAGAATTGTACTCGGTAAGTTTTTCAAACGGAAGAGGCTGATTCACTTAAATAAAATTTCAATGTTAGCGAGGACTTACCTTTATATCGCAAATGATATTTTGAGTATGCATAGATAACTCTTTAGGCAATCAACTTTGAAACTTTCAGATTTTTTCGTAATACTTTCACGAAATTTTCTGAGATTCTGTCGAAAAATGTTTCCTTCCTACTATATTCCTGCTATTTAAGAAAGAGAAAGTTTTTCGAAGTTCATTTCAAAATCAGTTTACTTACAATATTTCGCTTTAGCAAGACCTTATAACACTGAAAAATGAAATTTGAGGCCCAAAAAAAATGTCAAGTTACAGTTGATTTTAAAGAGAATCTTAAAATCAGCGAGATGGCAAGACCCTATCACTTGACATATTAAATAGCTTTTAGATGCTAAATCTGAATTAATGATACTTATCTTTCAAGATGACATTGACCTTCTTACAATGAATCAAGAGCAATATTCCTTCAACAACTCGGATATGTGTCTATATGACAGATGGAAAATCATCTTTTCGAATAAAAGTTCATTTTTCAAAAACAATATGTGGCAAAATGAAAACTAAAACAATCATAATATTGAAATATGATTTCATTGAAGTGCAGCACATCTACGTACGAGAGAACTTTTCCAACTAATACCTTCTGCTTGAACTTATATTTCGCTTTTCGTCTTGAATGGTGGTCATTTCACTGAATTTTCCGTCTCAAATTCTCTCTAATAAAAGTTCATATAATGCTTAGTGTATTCTGAACATTTCAGCTCAAACTAATACTTCTCCTTGAAGATTATGCTATTGCAAAAAGAAACAACCGATTGTTTGAGTTGAAATTTTCAGAATATAAAATATATCGTGAGATCTGTTGTCAAGAAAAATTTTAAATGGAAAGCACTTATTGTGGTTTTTTTCAGCAATATTCTGCAAAATTCAGTAAAATAACTATAAGTCCTAATTATGAGACAAAATGGGTTGAAACGTAAGGCATCAGTCGGAAATGTTTTCTCATTAGTTAAACTAAGTTTTTCTTTAAAATTTTGACAGAATAAGAAATATTTCTATATGAACAATATATTTACTTTAATAACCAACGAAGACGTTGACATTATGGGAACTCTCAAGGGATGAAAAATACAAAATATTCAAGGATAATGTGAAAGTTTTAGCAGAAACCTCTCTTGAAATCTCATGAAATAAAGTAACTTTCACCCTTTGATCTAATCCAAAGATTTGCACTATTTTCTCAATATATAATTTCAAATGTCTATTACATATCTTTTCTTTTTTCTCTGATTATGCAAGTTTATTTGGCCACTTGAAAGCGCTGAAAATGAATTTATGAGGCAAGGACAGCTGTCCAAGATAAATTAAGTAGAACATCTATTACATCGAAACAAAGACACGTGATAAACTGAATTACATATCTTATTTACTAATGAGTGTGACTCTTAAAAGTATTTGTGATTACTAAAAGTGATTATATTCTCTGATAGTTTAATTCATTGATTTTTTCGTACGATAATACCATCTATGTGAATTGATTGCCAAATAATCATCTTTTTCTTGAATAAAACTTCGAATATTCTTATTTCTATTTACTATAATCAGGCAAATATTTTTTTTGTTCCATTGTAAAGAGATTTAACAAATTATCGATATGATCATGTGTGCATTTGCCAATAAAGTAATTCAATACATATTATTTTGTAGATTTATGTCTTAGAAAAACTTTTTGTCTTCTAGAATCGATTTCATGATGATATTTAATGGCAAACATAATTATTGCTTGAAATCTTTCTACAAATAATTGACGAAAAATCTTGTTATTAAGAAAAAACAAACTTGTATTGTAATCGATATGTTTTACGAGTATAAAGTTAAAGAATACCTTTCTATGTAAAAGAAGTATGATTTCAAGGATGTGAATATGGGTGTGCAGTTTAAGTTTACCGACCATCCACGTCAACGTCTCTGTGTAATTAGTGCACACTGACAGCAATATGGGCTGAAGCACTAGCATACATCGCTACAAAAAGAATACATTTTGATAGAATTGGTGTCTTGATGATGCAGATAACGCAGATTTCAATGTAGTCAGTGCTTCAGTGAATATCAGTGTCAGCGTCATTAGTGCGTTGATAGAGTCTGCGTTGGTGATTCACTGTTAGTATTTACACGGATACTGCACATCTCTAGATATGAGCACGCTGCTGGAAAATTTGTTGCTCCACAGAAACGATCAACAGATAAATAAATTTCAAATTTAATATATTGAATAGAAATAGCAGCAACAATTAATGTACAAAACCTAATCTATGCCGTTTTTGATATTTATCTATCGAATATAACCATTGAATTTTTATTTTTCGTAGCCGAATATGTGTATGTGAACACTCAGTTTCCTCTTTCGAAATATTTTAATCATCATCGAATATCTATTTAATGAAAACAACACTCAGATTCTTCAATGAAATAGAATGGAATTTGAATTTTTCATCATCTTAGATATATGAAGTAATTTGATATTGAGATAAACAAATACACAAGAATGTAAAACTTGTCATTGAACTGAATTGGATTTTGTCGAATGTGTTATTATACTTTCTTATTGAAAATCTAGTATATTTCACATGTTGCAGAGAACTTCGGTTGTGATTGGTGTGAAGTATACATGGATAAGAGTGAATCGTTAACTAATGTTGATGTGCGTGAAACTTGAAGGTACTCGATTTAAGATTGAATAAGTTGAACACACAAGTTGTTAACGATGTGTGATTTTCAGCCATTGAAAGAGAAGCTATGGAGACGTCTTTTTCTTCAATAATATATAGTACGACATCATTTTGAAACGAATGATTTCTGGAACACATTCACGAAAATTTATGTAAGTTGTCTGTCATTCCGATGAAACCTTCATAATAAGAAAACTCCATATTGTTCTATTGAACACATACATAGTTTTATTTTCTCAGCCTTAGGAAGTAAGAAGATCATCATTTAAACTCTTTCTTGAACTATACATGTCAAGTATCTCTCTATCTCAAAAACCTGTTGAAATCAAAACTTCATCGAAATGACAAACCATTTTTATACATTATTTTTTTTTAAATGTTGTACAGAAACCATTGATTTAAAATGATGTCGTCTTATGTGTTGTCAGAGAAATAGAATTGTAGATTAAATGTTGTATTTTCATGCCACTGCAGATTTATTACTGATTTGGTCTCAATAAAGTTGGTACCTATATTATAACACGACCATAACACGAATTTCATTATATTAAATATATTATTCAAATAAAAATTTATCGAAACACATTATTTATTTACTTTAATGTTCAAAAATATGATGATAAAAAGACATCGAAGATTTATAAATAGGCATATTTTTCGATAAATATTCTGTTAATCCATATAGCCAATTTACTTTTTATTCAAACATTGAAAACAGTATCTTATACTTGTTAAATATATAGTTTTGGGTTCGTCCAGTTTTTCTATATACTGATATTCATTATCATATGTAATTCTGCGAATTAAAAGAATATTTAAAATATCTCTACAAAATATGAGATTCGTTCGATTTCAATCTGAACTGAACTGAAGTCAAATTGGTTCAGTTCCGAAAAGATACGAATTCATTCCATTGCTGATTCATACATATAATTTTGTCAGAGGTGATATTGAAATTTGTTTCACCAGTTGTCTAGATCGGCTTTTATATAACCATGACCTTACAGCAGATAAAGTTCGAATTTGCTTAGCTATGGTCAATTTGAAACTAGTGTTATAATATTCTAGTTAATGGGCTAAATCTATTTGAATCACCTTTATCAATAGAAAAATGGATGAATTACACATTACGTTGACCAAATTTAGACATCTTTTAGCGAAATTGTCTTTTGCATTTTTTTTTGTCATGGTTGGTTAGAACTCGCCGAGTTACCCATCGAAAAATTGTTTTTGACATATTCAGGCGATGCCTTTATAGTGAAACTTAAATGATAGCAAAAAGCCATAAATACGATTATATATTTTAAGATTTTGACAATTAGAACTTCAGTTTCACAAGAAACAAATATTATATTCAATACTCAAAACTAACTTTCACCAAATTTCTAACTTGTGAGGAACGTCCTTTAATTGATAAATCATTTTAAGTCGAGACTATGTGTATTATGTAGATTGAAATGAGCTATGAATACTTTGAACAGAGTTCATACCCTTAGCTTATTGTTGCAGAGATACCGCACTTTTACGTTTGTTTTTGAATAAATATCGTCGCCCGCCTTTGAAACATTAGAAAAACTGATTTTTGAAATTTGACTTGAAATTTTATGTACAGACAAGTCTTGATGAAAGTAGTTTATTGTAAAAAATCCAGCTCAATTGTTTTCCTGATATTCTAGAATAAGACCATCGAATCTGCTGGTTCATATAAGCAATGTAGAAGACAAGCTATTACAAAAATAATATCATAAGATAGGGAAAGCGGCATGATAGAAACATTCACAAAAAAAGCTATTCTCTTTAAGGCCTATCTTTATGCAAAGTTCTAAGTCAAAATTCTAAAACCAGTTTTTCTGATGTTCCTGGAACGAACACTACGATAATGGCATGAACTCTTTTTCAAGGTATTCATAACTCATATTGACCTACATAATACAGATAGTATCGACTTAAAGTGATTTATTAATTGAAGGACGTTCCTCGTAAAGTCGAAATTGAATGAAAGTTAGTTTTGAGTAGTAAATAACGGGTGCGGCAGAATAAATGAGCCTCTCAGTATTTTGACAGTATCTCTCTCAAATTATGACTTATATACTTGGATCTTTTCTCAAAAGATAGCCCGTGCAATTCTCTACAAAAGCTTATGAAAAGAGATCTTCCAACGAATAGCTATGGAATTATACCTGAACAACTCTACAATGTTCCAAAATGGCTCACTTTCAAAAGCGCATTTTTTATAAAACTAATGATTTCACTTCTTCAAGCAAAAGAGATACAAGACCCTATTCTAGTGCAATTTTCCCTTATTTTCAGGTATACTCTCTCTAATAGAACTCAAAAGAAGAGATTCGGATATTATTATAGCATTCCAGCGGCCAATCTTCTTGAAAAACGCGTTGGAATCATCGATCGTTCTCGTTATACGCTTTGAGCATTGCAGAAAAAATACTTCGCAACATGCTGCTCATATAGAAATGATAGAGAAAACATTTTTCTTCAACTGAGTAATAAATCTGAGTATGAAATAATTTTTCATTCAAGATAAAAAGTTAAAATTGTGATGAACGTCAATGGAAGATTCTCAGAACGCAAATAGAGGAGAGCAAAGAAAAGTTCTTGTTAGGATAAATTTACAGTATGTCAAAAAAAGTATTCCTAAAAAGGATAGAGTTTTTTATCGGCTACAAAATGGCATATTCAGTCTCTTTAGATGCAATAAAAAAGCGGCACAAAATCGTTAATATAAAAACAAGTTCTTTGAAAGTAGGCCATTATGGAGCATTGTAGAGTTGTTCAGATATAATTCCATAGCTATTCGTTGGAAGATCTCTTTTCATAAGCTTTTGTAGAGATTGCAGGGGCTATCTTTTGAGAAAAGATTCAAGTATATACGTAACAATTTGAGAGAGATATTGTCAATATACTGACAGGCTCATTTATTCTGCCGCACCCGTAATATTATTTCATGCAGATTTTTGTGCTGGTTCTGACTATGATATATGTTTCTTTTGGAACTGAAGTTCTGATTGTCGAAAATCGTAGAGCACATATTCGTATTTATGGCTTTTTACTACCATATAAAAAAAATTGATTTTTTCAACCATCAAGAAATATTTTTCTTCATATATCAAGAACAGCATTTCCATAGGTAGTCCGATGAGCTCTATCTAACCATGACAAACAAAATACAAAAACAAATATTCTCGCATTTCACATTACTGATACCTTACATATAAGAAGAAAAAAAAACTAACTCGAACTCTTTTTTTGTATCAGCTACTCTTTATATCATTTATGGATTTATCATCGTTATCATTCTTATTTGATAATAAAAGTCATTTGTCCAAGTGATCCTTGCCATTAAACTTACAATTTCTTTTCCCTTCATTCTTTCAAACTTCTTGTTATATCAATAAGAGAATTGGTCAGATATGTTGAGTACTTCTTCATACTCAAGTTTGATTTTAAAGCTTAATATAATACATCAAACATATCGTGACCTAGTTATTTGCTTCGAATTCTATTTTATCCATCTGAACCTTTTGATGAGATCAAAAAAGCATAGTAAAACGAAAACAATACTATCATTTAAATTCGAATATTTAAATATATTTTTCCATATAAATCGAAAAAGAAAAATTTTTTATAATCAAAGAAATTTTATGTTATAGCTACAGTTAACATATTTGACGATAATAATTTTCTATTGGCCATAATTGTATTTTGATAATTATATTTTTTATTATTTGTTAATTTTGAAAGATTTGTTTTTGATAATGATTTAAAATTTTTACGTTTACTAAATGGATAATATTGATCATTAAATCTTACTTTATTTTGTATTATTTTATGTTTTTGTTGTTCACTATTATTTAAATTAAATGTAACAGTTCGTTGTTGTTTTTTTCCATACCATGGTAATGTTCGATTTCGATATATTGTTGTTTGTTTTTCAATATCACTTGTATCACTATCGATATTATCATAATAATGTTCGCTTGATGTATTATCATTATTATTATTATTATTATTATTATTATTGTTATTATCATTATCATTATTGTTAAGATTAATTCCACGTAAACGTAAACGTTGTCGAAATAATTCTTCTTGTAATTTAATTGTATGTTCAAGATTATCATGTGTTGTATACATTGTACAAGCTGCATTTAAAACACGTTCAAGAGATTCATTTTCATCAGAATATGTACTACTTGGTAAACTTTCAGCTGTATTATATGCACTTGAACTACTTTCATTGTGTTTTATTGATGATTGATCGGTTGTCGAGAGAGAAGGCGATGATAATGAATGATGAGATTGAGGTTGAGGTATTGCAGATATATATTCAATTTGATCATCTTTTTTAACCGTATAATATTTTGGATTCTAAATGGATGAATATTTTATTGATTGATTTTGTTTTCATATTGAATATATATATACAAACTTGTTCTGAACTTTTCATATGTGACAAATGAGATTTTGTTTCATTGTAATGTGTTGAACAATTTGGACACACTAATGATGAATTATTTTCATCTGTTTGACTTGAGAAATCTTTTAAGGCTTTCATATTTTCATTTAACTACAAATAACAAAAACGTCAATATTAAGTTTATCAAAATAGATGATGTTTATTTTAATAAAAGGCTTCAATATAAAACTATGCACCTTCTTTAATAATACGTAATCATATTCTAATATATCTACTTGTTTTAATTCATCAAAGAAGTTTAAAGAGAAAATAAACGTGATCAAACATTGTTTTAATATAGTGGCGTTTGTCTGGTTGCCTAAAGGTACTTTATCACATAATCTTTGACTACATATCCCAGACAAATCATTTAACTTTCTTAAGAAACAAAAGCGCTATGTCAGTGGTCAAGTAGTCCAATATCTATTGTTCATTCAATAAGACAGTAAACAATATTTTGCTCATTATAATAAATAATGAAAAACAAAAAAAAAAAGGATTAATCATCCAATTCATGATTCGACAAGTCATACCGACATTCTACAGTTTCTAACAATTCTTCATTATTATTAAAACTCATAGCACACATTTATTTCATAAGAAGGAAAAAAAAAGTATCGTTCAATTATCTTACCTTTTTCTGTTGTTGATATTTAAATATAAGATGTGCCATCTTTTTTTTATGTTGTTGTAAATCATTATATAATATTCCAATTTGTTTAATTAATTCATGTTCTTTTTTTTCATGTCGTATTGTTAAATCTTCAACAATATTTTTTAATTGTTCGATTGTTTGACATTTTTCATGAAGAATATGTTTTGTTGCTATTATATCCATTGATCTATGAGATAATCTCAATGAACTAAACATTTGTTTATCTAGAAGAGAATAAATATTCATACATAGTATATCAAGTTATAACTTGTCTAACGTAAGATTTTTCGTTTTTTACCATGAATATTAATCGATCCCTATTTACTTACTCACCGTCATATATCAAGAGGAACAATCTTCATTCTCGGTTGTCGACCGATGGATAAGAAAGAAGAAAAGAAAAGAAAGAGAAGAGAAGAGAGAGAAAGAGAGACAATCTTTTTTCTCTTTCTAATTATATAACGTTGATTTAACCTGACAAACGCACACCAACATTTTTCTCTATACATCATACATTTCCTGCTTAACGTTTGCTTACTACTCGTCATGCAGATACAATTCACGAGTCGTGTATTGTTTGTGCATTTGCACATATAACCTCTTCATCTATCTAAAACCCATTGCGTATACATACTTTACATACATACATGCATAAAGAACAGATTTAACATTCATTGTACAATCAGAAATATTGACTATATTCTAATTGTCTTATTTATTAATCAAATATAAATAGGATCATGTTTGTTATATATATGTATGTTTTTGTCTATGTGAAAAATGAATCGAATCTATTATTATTCTAAATCACTATCCATTTATCTGACATCGATTTAATCAACAGATAATTAAACAGAGAAAAAAAAAAGAAAATTACTTACGTTGAAGGTCAACATATGAAAAGCGTAAGCAATTGCCTTACTAAGATGTCGTGTCAATTTTAGATCTTTCTCTATATATAAACAATATGCTCATACACCTATTCAACATAAAAGAAGATTATAGTGAATGTCCTTCACAGAATAACACTGGTGCTGTATGTATATAATGGATGTATGAAGCGATTATATAATGAATGAAGTGTGCATATCAACAGATGCAAGTATCACAACATAAATACAAGTGGGATCTTTGTTTTGCATATATACATACATAATGACAAAATGACGATAGAAGACCTTGATGAGTGGTGTCTTAGAAATGTCAGAAGATTATATGTATGAATATGATAAGTTCCTCTGATTATCATAGACTAAGAGAGCTAAAATAAATGGGTCGGTTGATGTTGTTAATAGTTATTAGTACCTATGTGGATGTACTCTTGAGTTTTTCTCTTTATAACAATCGATGACATATGAGACAGCATGTGATTCTCGTCAAGATCATAGAGACAGGTTAAATGACTCGACATTGGAACTTGCGAAGAAAAACCTTTTTGCATAAATTCGGTCCAATGTTTAATATCACGACAAAAACAAAGAATCTCATCACAATTTATGTAAAGTACGTGTTGACATGTACGATAAAATAACGGGAAAAGAAAAGCACAACAATTAATCATCAGAAATATTGCAATGATAAATATATTTGTAGTGAGTCTTTTTTTTTTTTTGTCATTGAATTTGTTTTTCTGTTTTTAATTAAAATAGCATTTACTTTATCTAAGAAATCATGAAAGATCATTTCACGGATGATTATATTAATCGTTATTGAATAGGACAAAAAAAAGTACAAGTTCGTTTCTTGATCAACATCAAACAAAAAGAAATAGTTATCAATTGAATTGATTTTTTTACGCTTGTCGTTTTTTTTTTCGTAATTACATAAATAGATTAATTGTTATCAAAAATAAATTTTTATTTAAAAAGATCTTGATTAAATTAAATAAGCTATCAAAAACAAGAAAAAAAATACTAGACATACAACATCCGGTCAACATTGTCTGCATGCGATATTTAAATTTATTTCATCATACATATCTGTAATGATCTAGTTCATATGTATTGACGCTTATGTTCAATAACCCGGTAAAATGCTTTTTATTTTATCCTACCTATTTGACACTTTCACCTGGTACGATTACTCTATAATTAGTTTCTTCTTTTCTTTATTCGAGATAATGTTGACCTGTCCTATCCAGTGGAGTGTAGAGCAATGTATGAATTTGACCTAAGCTTATCAAATTAGGAAATTCATAGAACATGCGGTGATCAAACGAACACTCGGTGATAGACAGACGGTGCCTCTCTCGAGAAAGAAAAAGAAAATTAGAAAAGAAGCGAACATTTTGTAAAAACAATCTAGAAAATGAACCTGTTCTAATGTTCAGTTAAAATAACGTTGGAAGTCTATTCTTAATGATGATTGACAAGTGCACAAAACAAACTCGAGCGTCTGTTCGACAATCATCATATATATATAAACATTTCTCGTGAGAAAGAAAGAAAGAAACAAAGGAGGTGTCAGATAATCGTTGTTGATATCAATTACCTATTAACATCTTCTCATTTTTAAAGGTTATAACATAAAAATCACTTGTATTGAAATCTATCATGGATAAGGATAAAATTTTTGCTTCTTTTCATACGCACATTTATAATCTACCTGTTATTATTTTAGTTTTGATGAATGATAACAATATTGTTTTGTTTGTATCATGTCTATTGTATAACCACACTAATGTCAAAACGATGAATGTACATTTATATATGTCTGATGGTGTTCATTGAAGATTATTTTTTTGCTTATTTATGTAATTGTGTACTATCGATATACGTGTGTTTTTATACAAACTATTCGAAAAAAATCTTACATTATCAATATAAAAAATAATATGCATGTAATTAGTTGAAAGAAGAGAAATTTAATCGCATTAAAGCCTTTTAGCGCACGATAAGAATCATTATGATAGATAGAGATGGATGATTTTGAATTAGATTTAAATGAATCATACTACAATACAATCCTGAGTGTTTTTGTGGATTTGAAAAAAGCCTATAAATATTGAAAAATTCTGATTTTAATGTGACACATAAACTTGGCTGTTTTCTTTTTGACCATGCTAAAATTGTTTTGATTTTTGTAGGCGAATTAAAATTAAAATGGTATTTCTTGTTTATTGAAAGTGATATTTTCAATATTAATATGATTTTATTCAACTAATTCTTGCTTTAGTTTGATTAAATCCTTTTTATTTCATGGATATTAATTGTTGTCGAATTCTTTTCATTGAATCGTCAATGTCGTCGACAAATTCTCTTTTTTTTTATAACTTTTTCTTGCCAAAGTGCAAATCGATATAAATTACTCTTAGATATATAATTTTATAAAACCACAGTTAACAGCAAATTATTTGATTTAGACAAAAAAAAACAAAATACCATTTTCAAGTTATAAGATTTTTCTGTTACGATTTTTTGAATACAATTCCATTTATTTTCAGCATGTCGAGCTTCAAATTCATGTTGTACATTACAAATAAGATTGTTTAATAGTAAATTTTCATTATTCTTTTTTTCTATATAATTGAAATAAATCAATCTGAGTTTACAACAAGACTTCAATATATGTGTATAAATGCTTCACATTTTTTGAGTAAATGTTGTAAAGGTTCTGCTTGTTGATTTTTAATCTCCGTTAAAAATTAAAAGTTTTCCATCAATTATCATACGATAAAATTTGAATTTTTCAAAAGTCTGACAAAATCAAGTATAATAATGAGATAAATTAAAAATAATGTTTACTTTTTCAAGACATTTATTATGATTAGCATATTTATCAATTCGTGCTTTTAAATCTTCACATTTTTGTTCTAAATCATCAATTTAAACTTCTTATTTTTCAATATGTTTTTTTTTCCAATCGATACAAGGTCACGTTCATCATGTGAGTGTTTAAATACTCGCATTAGATTTTAGTCATGTTCCGAAGTAAGTTCTCTTTTTTTTGCTCCAGAAAATGATTTAGACGTTTATGCAAATTTCATAAACTAGCTAAACTTTCAAGTATTTTATGTTTCTTCATATATATTTAAGTTATAGCGAAGTAATTTTGAGATTTACATTTTTAATTTAAATTCCTAAATCATTTAAAACAACAAAAAACAGATGAACGAGTTTTTAGGTATTCAATATTTCTTTTTGATTAGTCAATAAAGTTTCTATTTCGATCACTGCACATTGTTTTTGCAACAATCGTTATATTGATAATAAGTGTTTATGGTAATGTTCGAACGGTGTTCTTTGAGAAAAGGGAATTTTTTTTTTATCATTGAAGGATTTTTATTGCTGTTATTGCAACTTTCTTATTGAAAACTGTTCAGAAAAATTCTTCCATGAATGAATTCATGATTATCTCTAACGATACAAAAAAAATCTTTTACCCAGCAATCAGAAATAGAATAAAAAAAAGGCACAGCTATAGAAGTATTACACATAAAAAGAAGAATCTGTCATTTGTTGCACTTGTCGATAGTTTTATCTATTATCATAATCTTGCTGAGGATATTGTTGCTCACAAGCACAGCATAAACAATTGACATGACTAACATCCGTTGGTGCACAAACACAAGTAATATTGCCACACTAAAAAGAAATCATACATATATGTCATTGAAAACAAAAGAAATAAAATATTTCATTTACCGAACAACATTGTCCAGAACAACAGGCTTCACATGTAATAATATCTGCAAATTCGATGGACTATTTAAAAAAAAATAAAGAACAATAGATTTCTGTTTTTTAAATATTATTTTCTTATAATATACTCCTCGTTTTGGACAACATGCATCAAGACATGACTCAATTGATGTTGTACCACAACAATCACATGCTTCAGCGCATCCTGCACAACATTCTTGACAGCCTAAACATCGAATATCACTGATATTACAATTGCAACAATCTCGAAGTACTCCACGAGACTTAAATAATCAACCAAAAAAAAGAAAACAAGCATTAATACTTAAAACAATTCCTTTTTTTTCTACCTTCAAAATTTCTCGAATCAATATAATAATAATGAAAATTAAAATAATACTACCAAGTATAATTACGAAGACGTAAGGCGATTCTATTGGTTCCCAATTTCCCCAAGTACTACCGCTAGGACAAAAAGTACAAACCTATAAAAACAATCAAATTAATCTGATTCTTTTTTTATGAAAATAAAAATACCTTTACGTTAGTTGACATCTGACAATAGTAATTCTTTTTTCAAGCAGTTCTCCATTCCTTTATTTATCTCTATGTCATGGCCTCTATTCAAGTCAATGCATTGTAATCATGGTAACCATTTTTGTTGTTAAGAATATTGTTGATACTAATGGCGACTTGAATTCTATTATGTTCATTATCTGATTTCTATAAACTACGTTCACCTTTTTAAGAAATCATGGCCGACGATGACGAAGAAGTGGGCGAAGAAGAAAATACTAATAATTTAGGCGTACGAATATTAAGCTTTTTTTTTTCTATTAATTAATTAATGTTTTTTTGTGATTCTTAAGTCTTATGAAGGTGATCGTAATGAAAATAATGAACGTCATGGTTTTGGTAAAGCAAAACTACCTAATGGAGATACATATGAAGGACAATATCAAAATGGCAAAAGACATGGCACGGGAACTTATCGATTTTCAAATGGTGCTCGTTATATAGGTTAATTTTAAAAATTTATTGGAATTATTTCATTTTCATATTTGATTTTTTTTTTTGAATAAAAGGTGATTATATGAAAAATAAACGACATGGTCAAGGAACATTTCATTATCCCGATGGATCAAAATATGAAGGTGAATGGAATGAAAATGTAAGGGAAGGCCATGGAACATATACCTATCCAAATAATGATACGTATGAAGGCGAATGGAGAAATCATCAAAGGCATGGAAAAGGAACTTATACATATGCAGCTACAAGTATGTAGTAGAAATTGTAATTTTGTTTGGTTGTCTTTTCAATTAAAAAAAATTATTTTTATAGAAGCTCAATATGTTGGTACATGGAATAATGGTAAACGGCAAGGTCCAGGAGAAATGCAATTTGCTCATTATAGATATGTTGGGAAATTTCATGATAATTATGTAGGTCGTTTTTAAAATAACACTTACACTGGAATCTACGATTGTTGTTTTCGGGACATTTGCTCCTCAGTGACAATTGTCCTTTGGACAGTTGTTTCCGTAACATCTGCTACCGCTACATTTTCTATCCTACGGCTCTTAGTTAGAACTACAAGTAATCAAAAACCAATCAGAAACGTACTGAGGCTATATATAAACCACCTCTTCCTGCCCAGAATCTTTCTTTCGCTTTTACTCTTATCTTAGTGTCCATCCGAACAGTGTCTTCAGCCTTGTCCACATCATAATCTCCTCTGTGGTATTCCGATTGCCTTTATCGTCACCACTAACAGTCAAATATCATAAGAGCAAGTATCACAGAAGCATCTCTGTGGAGAGTAACAAACGTGTTACCATTTATGAGTGTTGAATTCTTTAGTGATGACATTAGATTTCTTATACAGATCGTACATACATGTCTATCTGTCATCGTCTATGACAGAAAATAGAGTCTAGATGTCAGCCATTTGTTGTTTTTTTTTTTTCATATTTACTGTAAGATATTACTAATAACATCTTCTCTTATAAGTATCCATCACAGTAACTCATAAACCTATCGAGTTATTACTGAAATATTTATGATAAAAACAGTTGTAAAGTTTTAATCCTAAAAGAATTTTATATATTTCTAGCCGAAGGGTAAAGGCAAATTTGTATTTAAAAATGGATATCAACAAAATGGTGAATATCATATTACATCAACGGTAAAGAAACTACTTTTCTATCTAAAAAAAAAACATATGTAGATAAGAACAAAAATATTTAGGTCACTGATGACGATTCAGATGCTCCACCTCAAGTACAATATAAATGGATTGCTCATGATGTCACTGCAGTCGAAAAAGAAGAACCTTATGATTTAGATGATGAACAAGCTGAAACAGATAGAACACAAGGTAAAATTTAGTTTAATCTCTAAAGACTTGTTTGTTTTTGTTTAAAATTCTTTTCATAAAGAATTAATTGATAAATTTAAAAGAAAACAATTAACTAATCAAGAAGGTTTGTTTCTATGCTAAAATATTTTGCATTTCATTAAACATTATATTTTTGTTTGAATGAAATTAAAATTTACTATTATTATTATTATTATTATTATTATTATTTATAGAAAACGATACTCTACAAAGAATGCATATCATGTCTGGTAAACAAAAAAGAAATGATTTTTATCTTTATTTTAATTTATTATTTTAATATAGATCATAATACTCCTGAAAATCAATTGAATGCAGAATTAGGTGATACATTTGATGGAAATGAAGATATTGATGAACATCGACAAGAAAATGAAGGTATATATTAAAAGAAAATACATATAATTCTTTGAATAGTTTTCTTTTTCATTTATTTAGAAATACCAGGCGAAGAGCAATTTGATGAAGAACCATAGACTGTATTTTTTTTTCTAAATAAAGGAACGATGATATGTCCTTTAAGTATTAGAACACAACAATCATGTGATTTCTAGGTTTAAAAAAAAAGAAAACAAATCATTAATGAAAACGAAAAAGAAACACAGACATAACTAACTAAATATGATAATAGAGAAAAAAAAAAAAGTTCTTTTTTCTTTGTGAGTATGACGGTGATAATAGAAAATAAAATGTGAACTTAACATTGAAGAGTGCCGGCTTTGTAAAATTAGTGCATGAGTGTTAGTGAAAAAAAAAACTCAGGTGAGATTTTTTGAACAAAAAAAAACTAATGATTGCTTAATTATGATGTTTGGATTTTTTATTGGTACGTTTGCTCTTGAGTATATTCTTGGCTTTCTTTTTTAAAGTTTTCGAAGTTCCAGATTCTTCTTCTTCTTCTTCTTCTTCCTCTTCATCATCATCGTCATCATCTGTATCATCATTATCATCGTCATCGTCATCATCACTGTCGGTCTCTGACTCTTTGTCAGAATCTGTGTCGGTATCTGTGTCATCGTCGGAGTCGGTATCAGAATCAGTGTCTGTATCTGTATCAGAATCTGAGTCTGAGTCTGAAACTTCATTTTTTCCTTTTGGTCGATTCTTCTTAGCTTCACCACGATAGTCTTCGAGATTTTCAAAGATCTCAGCATATTCTTCTAATTCTTCTTCCGTATTTCCTTTTCAAAATAAAATTAAAATAGTTTAACTAATAAAAAAAAAAACGAATAATTTCATTCTTACCTCCAGCACACTCTTCGCTGCATTCTTCACGTCGTGATTTACCACAATTCATCCTCCTCATACATTCGTTATAAGACAAAAAGATTGAAGCACGCTCACGTGGGATGAAGACTGCTAAAATTGATAAGTTGAACATTGGTGGACATAGAGAAGATAGCTTTTGTGTGATTAGTAGCATGTATATATAAATATATGTGTTTTTAGAGAAAGAGAAAGATCGTATGAAGCTAGTATTAGACAGAAAAACAAATAAGCGTATAACAATTAGCGATATACAGTACATATAATGTATTAGAACAATGACGAAGATCTAGTCTAACAATAAAACGAAAGTATACTAGATAAAGGATAGATGAGGAAGGAATAGAAGGGTATGATTCTCACACAGGATGTTAATATCTCAAAATTTTAATTTTTTTTTGTTGATTTTGATTTTTTATTTTTATCATTTGGTGCATCTTCTTCTTCACTACTTGGATCACTTTCATTATCTGTTGTTGATGTTGTGTCTGTTGAACTATCATCACTATCGGATGATAATTTTTTTTTATTTGATTTTTTTGATGATTTCTTTTTTAAATCTGATCGATATTCTTCAATATGTTCAAACATTTCAGTATATTCTTCCATTTCTTCTTCGGTATTACCTGTAAAAAAAGTAAATATATAGAATTTATTTAAAATAAACTTATAAAAAAATCATTCAGATTAAGATTATTATATTTTACTTACCATCAGCACATTCTTCGCCGCATTCTTCTTTGCGTAATTTACCACAATTCATTCGTCGTATACATTCATTGTAGGAGAGAAAAATCGAAGCTCTTTCACGTGGGATGAACGTTACTGAAATTGAGGTTAACAAAAGAAAAAAAAACGCACACACTCTTCTTCTATTACAATTATTTCGATCAAATACTCATAGTAATGAAGAAACTTTGCTTTATACGATCTTTTTCTTTGTTTTTGTGAATCATTTTTTTTTAAAGCTTATTTTATGACTAAAAAGCAAAGTTAATTCGTTGAGTTTTACCTTTTTTATCATCATCATCCGAATCCGTATCCGAATCTGTTGAGGTTGATTCTTCTTCTTCTTCACTTTCTTCCTTCGATTTTTTGCTTGCATCAACTGTTCTTGTTGTCAAGCCAACAGACAAAAGAACAATTAAACACGTAACAAGTAACCAATTAAGATGCATTATGATCACGAAGTTCTAATCTGTGTAGAAAGAAAAAACCTAAAAAATGAAACTTGTCCATTTCAAAATACAATGTGTTACACTTGTTGTTTAAATAATTTTTCAAAGGAACATGATAAAGACCTGCGATTTTCGTCGTTCAAGAGAGAAGATCCAAGCCCATTGAAACATATCGAAATTTGATTAGTCAACAATTTACTAATCGGATGAGTTCTTAGTGGAGATTTTCGAAAGCAATTTTTTGAAGCTATTTTCCTTTCGATCTACGCAAGACAAACATTCTTAGTTTTTTCCGTTCAAGAGTTATAAGACTTTTTCTGAGATCCTCGATCTCAACCAATTGATCTATGATCATCTGGAAATGCAGCTAGCAAAAAGTAATTGACCATGCTGAGTCAAATGGTGATATTTGTTTTTGGGTATAAACTGATCTGACATTGTTATCTCTATATTTCTGAAATTCTACAATCAGCCTCCATGTAACTAAGGAGTCGACATTTCAGCACTAATGAGATAACAGTGTTAGATCAGTTTATACCTAACAACAAATATCACCATTTGACTCAGCATGATGAATTAGTCTTGTCTAACTGCATTTTCAGATGATCATAGATCAATTGACTGAAATCAAGAATCTCAGGAAAAGTTTTCTAATCTCGAACGAACCAAGTTAGGAATGTTGACCTTGTATTGGTCGAAAGTGTAGGATTTTTTCTATCTATTAGTCTTATCAAGAATATAAATCAGAATTAAAATCGCTTCAGAATACCATTTTCAAAAATCTCCACCAAGAACTTATCTGATTAACCAATTACTGACTAATCAAATTACGACATATATCGATGGGATTGAGTCTTCATTCTCGAATGATAAAATATATATATATATAGTAGCGACCAAAATTTTGAAACCAACATATTTTTTTATGTTTTCCTAAAACACCAAGCATCTAACATGGGATTTCACTATCAAATACATTCTATATCGAGAATCCCTTGATTGATTACTGGAACGGAGATCTTTAGATTTCAGACGACTTTGCTAGAGTTAGTATTTGACGAGGTCCACATGGCTGAGTACCTACGTTGCTCGAACCTCGGTACTACTAGCTGTAAAATAACAGCAGGCAAGTTATTAATGGCTGTTTATCTTCGATCATTCGTCCAATAGCATGCTAACTACGTTGTGGCACACATTGACTCTTGTGGTTACTTAGTGTGTATGGGGAGTTCAAGCAACTAAGCAGAAGAATTCTGCATCATGTTGGTCTTTTGAGGGTATGAATTCGAGCATTACTTTTATCCATAAGAACACCCATATCATTGCCTAATGAAACCACTATTCAGGTTTCAAATTAGATGCTTGGTATAGGTTACTCTTATAATTTTGATTATTACATCATGTTCATCAAAGAGACGGAAGAAAAATTATAGTTAAGAAATATCTTACTCGCATCTTGAAAAGTCAAAATACGATAGAAATTAGATGTATATTTATGAATTTGAGGATAACCTTATAGTTATGCTTTCTATTTTCCTACAAGGACAAAAGAATCAACATAAGAACAAAAATAAGCATATAAGTACAATCGATATACAATGGAAAAAAAAGGTCAAAGGGAAAAACTCAATGATATTATAAATGTATCGTAGAAAGTTAAAATACTAACCTGAACAAGAGAGGAAAATTGACTTTGTCTCGTTTTTATTCTTCTCTCTCGATCTCTCTTATGCGTAGAAAATCGCTTATGAGGATAATCTACAAAAAGAAAGGAAGATCATAAGAGAAAAATATTCAGGCATATGTATCTGTAGTTTTCGACATGTTGATTGGTTCGATGAAAACCACAATTATTTCCGTTAGAAGTATTGATATCCACATTTTTTGCTTCCATTTCATTGACTCGTGAAAATGAACGACAACATTTTATAATTACTATTAACTATAATCGATAGTAACAAGGTTTAAAAAGAAGAATAACAACTTGTCGTTACTTCTCCAGTTCGATATATAGAAGTAAACAGGAAAAATAGTAGGAAACAGAGTACTCCAATAAACATATTGGATAAGAAGACAACGACTATAATAATTATGATAATACTGTGGTTTTTCTTAGATATATAGAAAGAAAGAGAAGAAAAGAAAAGAAAAAAAAACCCGAACGAGAAACAGCTCTATGTGCTACTATTGGTGATAGATGCATCTCTAAATGATCTTGTGTGATATTTTCCCGGTGATAATCTATGCTCTTTCCTTTTCTTATTTTGCATCATCATCTCGAAAGAAGAAGGAGAAAAAAATGTAGCGCTTCTATTTTGATTAGTCCCAATTCATTACATAAGTTTTGTACTGTTGTTTCTTCTTTCTTTTGATCTTACTCTTTTAGTTTATGAATTAATTTCTTTAAAAAATAAAATCTTATATTATTAGACAAAAAAGTTCTCATCTTAGAAATATACGCAAACAATAGTAAAATTAAATTCTAAATATCAATCTCGAATAGTCACATCAGTTTTTGATTATTTTAAATACGAACAATGATTTATCAATTTTTTTTCTTTTTATGACAGGTACTTCATAACATTAACGACTATTGATGTTTTTCTCTTCTTTTTTTTTTTTTTTGTTTCTTTCTCAGTTTGTCGTATCATTTCAATGCCGATAGTTCTGTATAGAGAAACTCATAATCTTTTTCATATAGTTGCTTACTGGTGTTACTGTTATTGTTAATAGGTCTGTTGTTGTACAACTTTGGCAGTAAGCTGTTCGGCAGCCGCAAACACACATACGTCTATAAGAAAAAAAACAGGAAAAATGCATGAAAGAAACAATCTTTTTTTCTTTCTTGTAACCTCAATCACCACTACTATCCCATATATATTATATATATGCATTTATATATAAAGCAAAAGAAAGATAGACAATATCGATTGGGCAAAATCTTCACAACAAAAATAAAACATCCATCTGTCGAACATTGTATGATTGTAGCTTGATTGTGATACTATTCATAGAAGATGATAGTAATACTAACAGCAATGGAAATATTTGTGCTAAATATAGATAAACTATATATCATTTTCAATTGAGAAATTATCATGATGATATAATGTATGCATTAATTTTAGTATTATCGATTGCATTTGTTGAAGATTTTAAGAAGAAAAAGCATTTTATTTAATTCTTATCTAGTATTAAATGTCTTTATTTTTCTGAAGTTACTTACTTTACAAGGTTATCAGACGCACACAAGCACAAAGAGATAAAAAAAACAAAAGATTCAGAACAAATGAAATTTGGTCAATTGTAGCAAGAAAAGAAGAAGAAAACAAATGCACAGCTATATATATAAAATAACAGCAATAGACAAATTCAATTGTTTTTGTTTTATTTTGTGTTCTTTTTAATTCATTATCACTGTTGAATATTAGCATTGATTTGTTTGGCATCATTAAATTGTTGAAAAAATCTTTTAGCTTGATCGTTTGTTTTAAATCTTATACATAGTATTTCATGTTTAGATTGGCCATCAGAAAAATCCATAGCTGACCATATATAAGCATTTTCTTTACCATGATGTTCTTTTAATTCCATTTGTGATGTTATCCTATGATTTGCGCATACTTTGAAGATTTGTTCACGACGCATTAATATTCGACATAGATTTGTTGTTTTATGTTGTAAAATTTTCATTTCACCAATTCCACGTTCTTTCATTTCATTTGTTGATGAATCAAAACGATAAAGTTTTGCACGTTCACAAAATAAAATATTTTCATCTTCTTCTCCTGTTTTAACTTCAACAGGTAATAAATGTACAATAGGTTTATATGACATAGATGGTTCATTATCTTCATCGTGATTTTCATCATTATCCTTGTCTGTTTTACTTATATTCGTGGAGTTCGTATCGAATATCAATGAACCTTGTCCAGGAAAAACTATTCAAAACAATAAAATATGGTAAAAGCAAAATGAAAATAAAAATTTGTATTTATAAATTACCTCTTGCTTCTTTATTATTATCTATCAATGGGTGATCTAATGCCTGCTTAGCTACATCAGAAAAACTAAGATTTTGTAAATTACCAAATAAAGGGATATTTTCTGTTGATCCTAATTTACTAGTTGAAGTACTATTTGTTGTTGATGAGAATGGAATTGAAAGTTGTAAATCAATTGATGATGTTTTTGCATTACCAAAAGTAGAAAAAGGAAAACTACTATTTAATGGTTTGATGGATGTCAAACTACCAAATATCGGATCACTATTATTGTTATTATTATTAGTTGTTGTTGTTAAATTTTCGTTGATGGATTGAATAGAATTAGAACTAGTATTAGTATTAGAAAAACTGGACGGCTGATTATCATCTTGTAATGTAGTAGTTTTATCATCGTTTGTTTCTATGACTTGTTGCTCAACAATTAGATTATCTAAATAAAATAGAAAATTATCGAAATAAATTTTATTGCTGTATAATTTTAGAAATCTATTAATTAAGAAAAATAAAAATACAAAGCTCTTACAAAGTTCTTGTTTTACCCGATCCAAAATAGTTTGTGCCATTTGTGAAGCATAATTGTTGAGTAAATATGGGTCAGTATTATAACTGGAGAAATTTCGTGTCTTTTTTTGATGTGTCTGAGCTGCTGCTATTTCCTCTCCTGCATCAACTCCAACAGAGGTTTGTTCATGATCAGAATGTGATGGTAATGATGATGATGGTGGTGGTGGTGGAGGAGGTAAACGATTGCTTGGTAGAGAACGTTTGGCTTTTATTATCATTCGATAGTCTTTTGGAGGAGAATGCATATTAAAAGAAGAAAATGAATCCACTCCAGTAGGAAACCAAGTGGGCATCATAGACATCAACGGGGGCAGAGAAGATTCTAAATATTCATTAGGAACGAAGAGAAAAACAATTTATTTGAATTATAATAAAATATGGACGTACTTGGGAAGAAACCCGAAGGAAAAGTAGAAAGATTTTCAAAAACAACAGTAGTAGCATCATAAGAATTCGTCCGATTTCCAACATAGACTAGAAATATAAACATGCTTATCTTTCTTTACTGTTATTTAACAAACAAAAATTCTCGTCTACAGTCATCAAAAACAATAACAATACAAGCAATTAAACATACTTTCATTCGATTGAGTCAATGATGAATCTTCCTTACACCCACGACAACCATTACATGGCTGTTTATTTTCATATAGATAGAATGTTAATGGTAATTGAAGTTTTTTTGCTTGTTCGATTTGTTCTAATGTTGGTTTAACTTCACCAATGATAATTATATCTAAATATGAAAGAAATTTCATTGAACAATAAATAATTCATTTCTTTTAATTATACCATCATCATTTAATGAAATATTTTTAATTGATGATATATTATCGATATTATTTTGATTGATTTCCCTTGCTTGATCAAATATTTTTTCAAATTGCGTTGCTTGTTCATGTGTTTTAAATTTTATACAAAACGTTTCATGTTTGGCTTCACTATCAGAAAAATCCATAGCTGACCAAAGATAAACATTAGGTATTTCTCGATGTGGTGTTAATTCCATTTGTGATGTTATTTTATGATTTGCACATACTTTAAAGATTTGTTCACGACGCATTAATATTCGACATAGATTTGTTGTTTTATGTTGTAAAATTTTCATTTCACCAATTCCACGTTCTTTCATTTCATTTGTTGATGAATCAAAACGATAAAGTTTTGCACGTTCACAAAATAAAATATCTTCATCTTCTTCTCCTGTTTTAACTTCAACAGGTAATAAATGTACACTAGGTTTAAATGATATACACAGTTCATCAGAATCATTTGTATCTTCAATGTCATCATGTAGATTAGTGACACCATTAAAACTTATTGGACCAAAGACAAATGGAGCTAAAACTAATGAAATAAACTCGAGTTTTTTAAGAAATTCAATTTATGTTACCATTACGTGATGGTTGCTGATCTGTTGTTTGAAAAAATGAAATTGATTCTGAGTTTGGTGTTAAATCAGGTATATTTGAAAAGAATGGTTTATTAAATGGAGAAGAGACCTGTAATGCTGGATGAAAATATGATAAAGAATTGAATGGTGGCGGTTGTGGCATATATAAATGAAATGGAGGTAAAAATTGAGATTGTTCTTGTTGAAGATTCATTAATCTGTTTGCAAGTATTTCTACATTATTCTATAAAGTAATCTTGATTAATAATCAAAATAAAATTAATGACAAAACAAACGAACCCTAATTTCGATTAATTGAAATGAAATATGTCGAGAATATTGTGCTAAATTTTGTATAACATTAGTCTGAATATTCAAACAATTGATGAGCTGCTCATTTAGATAGTCGTCAAATGTTGTTTCTGGCGTTAGAGCAGACATCTTAACAACAAAAAAGAAAGCATATTTTTGAAGCAATAAAACAATAAAAATGACCTATTATTGTTGCAGAAAACAGGCTGATAAGTTAAATAACAAGAAAAAGAAGGACAGAACAGCCATTTTCTTCTTTTAAGCACGAGTCTTTACTCTACCTTCTTATTACTCATGATATTTCAATTGAGAGTCTATAGATGGCATGCTCTTCCGAACTAATTTAATATTAGACGAAAAAAAAAACAACAAGCAGTGATTTTAAATTAAAACTTTGGTTTCCTGTATTATTGAAGAATTAAATTTAAAATGCATACGCGGGTAAATAATCTCTTATAGATCATAAAAATTCGTCGATATTTTTCCAAACAGAAGCATGATGATAGATGATTAAGCGCGAGAAATTTTTGTTGAATGCCATATGCTTTCTTATAATAAGAAAGTTATGATGGATAGTTTCTGATGGATTAATGAATCTTCGTAATAGAGCCCGTCGGATTAGTTCCGAGTCTGGATTCAAAAATTTTGCATCCAATGGATTCTAACAGTCTGAGAAATATGTAAGACGCGCTAAACATCGAATAAAAAAAATATCTTGTGCCTTCTGAGCGACTATCCAATTCCGATTAGAAAATTTCTTTCAGAAATTTTGAACACGACGGTCTACATCCGGTTATGGATTGTGATTGATACATCAAATCAATATTACTATAATTTCTAGCTAACAAATGTGGTGTTGAGAAACATTGTATACATTTCTATAGTTAGTACTTTATCAGCAGAGGTTTCAATATAGAGGGGTAACGTCTCTCGTAAGATTGAGTTGGCGGCTCTACGGGAATTTGTAATTATTGTACCACATACAGTGTCACTGTAGTCCAAAAAATAATTGCTTACCCTCCCGGAATTTTCAATCGCTTCTCTGAAAAAGAAAATCTCGATAACATACTGTCTATAGCTTCGTCAAATAACCCATTTGGTTCATTGATAAAGTTAAATTATGTAGAATGTTTTCGTCTTCGATCTTATTCCGAATATAGTCTAACCAAACATTCCAGGTGTAGATCCATGTTAGATTTACTTACCAAAAACCGATGATCAATATTTACCATTTCATTAATTTGAATAATGAGATGTGTATTCAAAAGAGAATTTCTTCCTGGGCATCATAGTTATTAACTTGAATGAATGAAGTTGATGAAAGAGATAAATCAATCTTCAGTTGGAAAAGAAATTCGATGCAATCAAACACTGTCCGCAAAACAAAAGCTTACCATACAGTGAAGTTGTTGATAAAAAATTATTGAATGACAGTGGACCAAATTTATTTATTTTCAACTTTTGAAACTCAGCATTTGACATCTTCTGTACTTTATAACCGATCTTTTTTCTTGTGTTCTAGGAATTTTAATGAAGATCGTTCAATATCTCAGTGAAAATCATCAAATAAAAAAATTTTATCTTCATCATCATATTCAAATCTAATAAAGGATTGCTTTGTATACCTCCAAATGAATAAATGATCTTCATAATATCGTTTGAATTGATCGATCATTCTCAAATATGAACTTGAAAAAGTGTTTTGCTGACGACAGTAATTGGTGAATATTTTCTTTGCTTCTCTATCATATTGTATCTTTAAAATCATATCTATGAATAATGAAGAATGCATATACAATGAAATGAGTTCATTGAAACGAATAGAACTATTCGTGGTGATTGCAAGATTGATCTTCTATAGATATGAATATCTTGTTTAAACAATTGTCAGAGTTTTCTTTGATGGACTCTAAACAATCTAACTCTGATAAATTTGAACCATTTATTCAAAGCGCTTGAGAACAGAAATGAGCTGTTAATGAAAAGAATTAGAAATAATCGTGAATATTATTTATAGTTAATATTATGAAGAAAATTAATATATTGATCAACTTCAGCACAAATTTTAATGGAACTCGGACACTTGATGGAAAAGGCTGTAGGTCTTCTCTTCACTCACACTCACATCCGATCAGTATGGAACAATTAGATAGAAAAGCATATAAGAAATAACCATATAAAACGAATGAAAACATTTTGTGTCTTCGATTTGTGAAATGGAGACTTTTCTTTTTCTTTTCTGTTCTGTACAATTTTCGGTTCTATTGGGTTTTTCATCATGTAGAACGAAAGAAAGAGAGAACGAAACATTATCTTCAGAACATATTTACATCATTTTTATTTCACATTGAATTTCGGAAGTGTTTTACAAGTTGGAAAAAAAATGTCATGCTTCCTATATGTACTTTTTATACACAGCTGAATTTACATTTTAAAGTATGTTCGAAAGTATCTATTGAATATTTACGGTAGGTATGTATCTTTTATTAATCTGATAGAAGTATTTTCACATTCTGAAAAAGTAGAAAATATATCCAAAAATAAGAAATATTCGTTGTATTATTAAAAAGACTATTAAATGCGAAATGACTTAGTATTACTGAGTACCCTACTGCATAAGCACTCTATAACACATCAATCGAGAAAATTAAATCGCTACTCTATGATTTTCGATTTACTGATCATAACACTGTACTTTTAATCTAACAACAATAGTTTTCTATTATTTCTTGAAATACTATCTGCTTTTCAAATATCTTTATTTTCAAGTGGCTTTCCATACACGCATCGTATCTATCGTAATACTCAAAAAAATCATGATTTAGAATCATTGAAGCCATCACACTCGAATTCGCTGATGTCCTAACAACTTTTATTTCATAACAATTAAATTAATCGGTTATTGATAAAAGTTTAGTAATACAAAAGAAAGAAATAATGCCGAAATCTAACCTTGTTAAAGACGGCAGACTAGAAAAAACATAATTTTCCACAACAGTTGAAAGTTCTGTTTTACAATAAACGGCAATTTTTTATTGTATTATTTTGATCAAATTTCTTTATTGATTGAAAAATGATCACTCTGCTTTTTTTTGCATACCAACAGAACCAAAAAAAAAAATGCGAAACAAATATAATCGATAGAAATTTTAAAACTCACAATTTATTCTATCGCTGGTAAATATTAAAATCATTTACATTAAAATATTTATTGTAAGTTACATAAAAAAAAAACTGTTTCTTCTCCAAATTGAATATAGATTTTCAACAATATACCCACCACATACAAGTAAGCTTTTGTTAAATTTAGTATTTATTTAAAAACAAAACTATATCAAATACGATTAGATCAATTAGTCAAAACGAAAAAAAAAAATAGCAACTTATTATCTATACATATCCTATTGATAGAAGATCATGAAGATTTTTGAAAGGCTATGAATTCTTTTTCATTACTGTACAAATGTGAGAGAAAATCAGATGCTAAAGTTCATGTTTCACAAATCTCTAGATACTGATGAAGTTGACTTGTAAAAGAAAAATACTATAAGTTAAATTAAGAAGACGATAAATTGAAATTACTTATGTTTTGAATGACTTTACGCAAACTTAAATATTTCACATCATAGACTAGTAACTGCGACTTAAAAGGATCCTCTTTTCCTACTTCCAATTCAAAATTTATACATTGCTTTACTTTTTTTTTGTTATAAAAATGAATTTTCAATAAAGGAAATGGAGGATAGCCCTCGTTGCTCAAACATAGTAATTACTTCCGAAAATGTTTAGAAATGTTTCTACTATATATCAGAAAGTGCTTAGAACATGTAGTTTTTTTTATTTGCTTCAAGATATAATGTACGATTGCTTTTTTGTCAAGGTTAACACAGAAAGTTTCAGTAGACAAAATAAACCAAGGAAAGTTCAGGTCTATAAAATGTATTATGGCTGACGAAAGGATGTTTTCCACTGATCAATCGTTTTATCATCAAAAGCTAATGGATTTTAAACTACAGCTATGTTGATTCCGAATATGATAATGAAAAATTCTCTTCAGTATTTATACACTAGTTTTCCAGACTAACATATATTTTGCTAAAATTATTTTTAATCTACTCAGATAAATACAACATATCGAGTCGTCCTTAGGTCAATAATCTTGTCTTTTTATCCAAAAATAAGTTTCAAGAAAATAATACCATCTTGGAGATTTTTACATTTACATGTTCACATGTATCTGTTACATGAATTAAAAATGATTGCATTTTTTGCAGAAAGAAACGATATGAAACCGCAAAATACCTTATGCTAGAAAATCACCATATGAAGATTTAAGAAAGTTCGTTGTGATCATATTCGGAATCAGTATACCAGATAACTTACAATCTATCAACTATCGGTAAGAAAGAGGTTGCTCAGTTGAAAAGTGTTTCTTCATAGGCAGTAGTGGAGTCCTCTTCAGAAATGTATTGTTCTCATGTTATAGAAGATGAATATATCTCCTCTTTCGCTGCGCATGATTGCTGACTAAATGCCTCCTACAAATTTCTTCAAACTTTACTACTACTCGTGAGTAAGCAGGGGGAATAACGCCCTATTAATCTAATAGAAATAAGTTTCTTTATAGAATAGCAAACAAACAAGTGAAATGTTTTGATTTGATTTTCATGTAAAAGCATACATTAATAATGAAAATGTTTAACTTTTCTCTAACTAGTTTCAAATATTCCATTACAATTCTTTTTTTATCTTTGTAAACAAAAATCTATGACAAAATATTTTCTACTTTTCTTCCTACTATTACTTTTACAAAAGTAAAAGTACACTATGACTAATTACTTCTCTAGATGTCACTAGTTTTCTAGTATAATTAATATCAATTGAATTTTAACTATTAAATATTGAATAGTGACAAAACTATTAAACAAAATTAAATAGTACTCAAATCTAATTTAGTTTGACGTTATGAATGGAGGCTTGAATGTGTAACTGATGGCAACATATAAAAAAAAACAATTTCTAGCTAGAAAACTACTTTCTGTTATTAAAATCCTCAGTAAGTAACAATTACAGTATTTCTACGATCATATTGATCACTTCCTGATATAAAATCATATTATTTGATTTATCAGTGATTATTTCATAAATTATATTTAAATTTTCGAGGTAAACTCATAAAAATAACTACAATATAAAATAAAAGAATAATTTTGTTTATGTTTTAGATTTTACAGACAATTAATTAAGCTTTTTTTTTTGTTGTTGAAACGATGGTCATAACTACAATTAATGTAGAAAGAGATGTACGGTGTCGATATAATCGACGAGTACTGTTTTGTCTTCGAATCAAGTAAGTTTCATAAACTTTATGATTTTCTGATAATTCAGAAAAAACAATCAAGTGTCTATGTTCTATAAAAAAAAGAACTTCTTGTTTTTTTTTATAGAGGAGCTGCTTTACTCATTGGCTTCTGGGATTTATTTATTCATTCATTTGCTTTATGTGCTCTTATATTTATGTTTGGGCGAACACCTGAAACCATGACTGAATTAACAACAACAAATAATCAATTATATCGTCAAGCACCAATAACATTTGACAATTATCATGAATCACCTTCAAATACTCTAGTAAATAATAAAAAATTCCTTTCAAGACATGCCGCATTTTTAAATCATATTATGGAAAAACGTAATGCAACTCGTTCACTAATGGAAATCAATCCAAGAAATTTTTATTCACATTGGGATTTAATGACTTTTCATTGGGTACAATCACTTAGTCAACGTATGTTAAAAGATGGTTCCTATTTTTTTTCTCTTCAATCATAAAGTTTCTCTAACAAAAGAACATCTCTAAGTGATACCTTCGGTTTGAACTCATAGGTTAGACAAAAACTCTAAAAGGTTTAATATCTTGAGTTTTTACTTCTCGAGTTATGATCATTGTACTAAATTTTCATCATATTTCAGATCGCAATAAGGAGTTTTCCTTAGTAATACATCTCATGGTACTTATTATATCCTGAAAGTTTCAGTTCAAATCAATCTTTCTCTTTCAATAAGAGTGCAATAAATCGAAATTCGTGGATTTTGATTTCTATTTGATCTGGTAAAATAAAGTGACCTCAACAATGGTCTAGTTTATTAGAGATGCGGCACAACTAGAAAAAGGTTTTGGAATAGAACCTTTAGTATTTCGATTAGGCTCAAATCAAACCCCAAGATTCTTGGTCCAAATTTAAATATACTCTCAATTTGTTTTAGCTCTATCTTCTGAAGATAACATGTTTGCACGAACGTAACTTTCTCACATAAGCTCTCATAATAGCCGTTTTTTTCGGGGCTATCCTAGATCTTAAGAAAAACTTCCTCTTTCATGACAGACATCTTAATAACGACGCATCAAAGAAGGTGACAGATGCCTTAGCGACGCCCACTTCTTCGTCATAGATCATGACAGAGATTGGCACAGATGTTGATATAGAATTAAAGACCGTATATGAATAATGTTTCATTCTACTATATGAACTACTTCCTTATTGTATTTCTAGAGGATTTTGCAAACAGTATGATGTGTCCCGAAATAGATAGAATAAAACAATGTCCCTGTGATCAGCAAGAACAGTTATATCGTGTTTCATATTTTAATCTCGGGCAAATTGTACTGACAGTTTTTTTCTTATTTTAGAAGATAAATGTATTGTCTTTGTCATAATTTTTTCGGCTACAGTTCTCATATTAGCACATATTTGTGGAGTTATAACTGTAAGTTTATCTATCTAAGCATTGAACTTTGTTTTTTGTTTTGATTGTTTAATTTTTTTTTTCTAGAACAAACCATCATATATAGTTCCATATTTTTTAATAAAAGTTTTCAATGTTATCATTGCAATCTTATCAATGTTAGGTTTTTATGCTTATTTACCTGATGTAAGAGTTTGGCTTCAAGTACAACCAAATTTTCCATATAAAAATTATTTACTTGAATTCGATGCACAAACACTTCAACTTCTTGTATTTACTTTTCTTTTATTTCTTATTTTAGCTAAAGTATAATCTTTTGATACATTGGCATTTTTTTCCTATGAAATTCTTTTGTTTTTAAGCTTTATATTGTGGCTATTATTTGGTATTGTTATGGATATGTAACAGCCTTAACAATGGCTCGAGCCATTGGAACAATTACAGCACATAATGATGATCCACAACCAATTATTGGAGAGGTATATTATTTAAAATGATTTTGTATTTGATCATTTTTAACTTTTTTTTCTTCTGTATTTGAAGATGTATTCACCACCAAAATATGAAGAGGCAATTAAATCTAATCCTCAACAACAAGAAGATTATGCGCCTCCTCCGTATACACCATTATTATCATCATAAATTATATATATATATTCATTCTTAAAGATCTGAATTGTCCATGTCTTTTTCCGGTTTAGTTATTTATTTATTTTATCTATTTTCGAACACACCCATAGACATAAAATCATTAAAGCAAATAATGTGTATATATTTTCTTATTAATCCTGCATGTTTTCTTCTTTTGCTTGATTGCTTTTGACTTAAAAGCATTATAGATACGTATTGGATGACAGCTAGAGTGTGATTTTGTAAATATATATATATATAATTAATAAATCAAAAGAAAATAAATATTATATTATCATGATTAAATATCTATGATCAATATTTCTCTAGTATTTTTGTTTTGATGTTTATCACAATATTAATAACATCTATGCTTGACGATCTATTCATTATTATTTGTTACTTAAAAAATCAATTTCATTGTATAATCGATCTTCAAAACTCTGATAGAAAAAGAAAATTGTTTTATATATCGGGTAGTACAGAATAAATAGCCTTCTTAGTATTTTTGAATTTTTCCCTTTATTATTCCCTTGATTGAGACACTTTTTTTCAATCAAAAAAATAATAGCACTTGAAATTTTACACAAAATGGTATGCTTTATTTAAAGAACATAGCAGCTTCCTCCATTGTTTTCTTGGATTAAACGTAATCATACAGCCAAATGAAGTACAAAATTTCAATTCTTTTGATAAAAGATTTTGTTTCGTCTATCAATGTTACCTTTGTTGTTACGCAGTCCCAATAGATAGCTTGATCTGGTTCAATTAATTACAATGCTAATAATGGCCAAGTGAAGACTGGCTGGAGTAGAAAAAGACAAGACAGGTTCGGTTCATGAAAAGATACAATTTCCCTTAAAGCTTACAGTGTATTGTCTATTTCAGAGTAAAGTGTAACCGTAGACATTTTTTGAATAACTTTAAAACAACAAGAAAGAAATAACTCGAATTTTTAGTACTATCTAGAGTCGACATTGTTCTATATTTTTACAAAATCGATGAAACTTGCAGTCATTTTTCTTCTTCGAAACATCATGAACTGTCAAAATAATCTTAATTTGTCGTAAAAACAATATATTTTTTTAACTATAATATAATGAAAAGATAGCCCAGCTTCTCCTCTATCGATCCACACAAGGTCGAAATCGATATCTGTTATCGTTCAAAAAATGTAAAGATTTTGCTGAAGACTTTTCACCAAATTTTGTCAAAATCTAAGCAGGTAACTAAATATTTTCTTCTACAAGTTCTTAGTCGCCTTCAATTTCATGGCATGATTTATTAATCTTTGGAGCTTTTTTTTTCTACTAAAAACGTCATCAAAAAGCAAACATTAACTTTACTTTGATGATACTGAATCAATTTCTTGGAAAATTCTCTCGAACCTTTATTTTATTCGTGTTTTCTATAGCACAAATTTTGAGAGTTAAAATTGATTAACCGAAAAGGGTTGTGAAGATATGTATGTAAATTCATTATAAAAAGTCGTTAGTTATTAGTATCATCTGTACTATAAGAACTATAATCATCTTCATCATGATTATCTAGTTCTTCCTCAAATTCTTTAACACAAATATCGAACTCTTTGAATATAGTCCATTTTGTTCAATATGACTAATGTAACTGGTTGTTTCTGTCGGACCCAAGTCGTATATCCATTCTGCCACCATTTTACCCACTTGAATCAAAATCAGCTGCATATTACTATGACGTATTTATGCTTCCACATGAGAGTGGCTTCCGTCGTTGAATTTACTAATGACTGTCGAAAGTTGTGTTTCTTGACAATCTTTTCTTGTCGCTCTACGTTGCTCTCTTGTTGTCTGTTTAGGAAGAATATGAATTTTGTAATATTGGTTCCAAACAAAAGGCAATACTTTCATATTAAGATAGGTGCAAATCAATTCAAACATAATTTGACTCAAAAGAAACGACGGATTAATTCATGTACTCAGTAGGCTACACTATTTGTGCAATAGAATCATACTAAATGAAACTGTTTCCATAAATACTGTCACATCATAGACTATCATTTGAATTAAAAGAGAATATTGATTCCTCATCGTCAAAATAAATTCAATGGATGCTTTTTGATGAAGTTGATAGTAGAAAAAAAGCTCCAAAGATTAATAAATCATGTCACAAAGTTGAAGGCGAGTAAGAACTTATAGAAGAAAATATTTCGTTACCTGCTTAGATTTTGAAAAAAATTGGTGAGTAGTCTTTAGCAAAATCTTTACATTTTTTGAACGATAACAGATATCGATTTCGACCTTGTATGGATCGATAGAGTAGAAACGGGACTATCTTTTCATTATATTATAGTTGAAAAAATATATTGTTCTTATGACAAATTAAGATTATTTTGGCAGGTCATGATGTATCGAAGAAGAAAAATGACTGCAATTTTTCATCGATTTTGTAAAAAGATAGAACAATGTCGACTCTAGATAGTACTAAAAATTCGAGTTATTTCTTTCTTGTTGTTTTAAAGTAATTCAAAAAATGTCTACGGTTACTTTAATCTGAAATAGACAATAGTTTTCAGATACTCTATCTAATTGATAAACTTAGTCAATTGAAAGGGCTCTAATCACTAGATTTAGTACTGTAACCAACATGATGATTTGTTTTAATCAAAGATGATTCGAAAAACACTCTTAACAAATATCTTGAAACAAATTAACTGTGGGTAAGTAAGCATGGCTAATAGCTCAAATACTTGCTGGAGCAAAAACTAAATTACCCTGACTTTGTGAAATATTATCTGCAAAAGTCATTACATTTGGACTGCCCTAAGTAATATCATCGAAATAAATCATTATTAATGAATATTTAATGATTTGAAATCAACAGTGATATAATATTTTATTTATCAAAAGAGGATCAATATTAACCAGATCATTTGAGAAAATAAGGAGACGAAAGAAGGTTCACAGAGACGAACACTGTCTTCATGATATTAGAAAAAAACAAATAAAAATAGATTATGACTATATGAACATAATCAGATTAATAAAGTTGAATAAAATTTCGATAAGAATAATTGAAATGAAGAATAATATTCCAGTTTGATAGTTTTATCGCTCTCAATAATTTATCGGCTAGAGTAATATTTTCCAATAATACGTTAAAATATAAACACAATACATAATCGAATATCAAGATGCAACTTGATATTGTTTATTTATTTAGAATTTTTCTTTTTTTTTTCTTTAAAAGAATAAAATTGAGTAGCCGGAATTTCGCCAATAAGATTTTCGCCAATATGACTTTTATCAGTACCCACGGCACTGCACAACATTCTTTGTGATTCTTTCGGAAAGGTTTCACTATCTTCTGAGAAGCTCAAGGACTTTCGACAATATCTACCCTCATTTTCCTGCAATTTCGCCAATATTGGCGAGAGTCTTATTGGCGAAGAGCGGCGACCCCTATCTATCGGTGTATAAAAAACTTAATTCAAAGGATTTTTTACTGATACAATGTTGAGCAAATAAAAGGATTTAATATTCAATAGCGAACAATCATGTTTCAAAAAAATAAGTATTATGTCAACGTCTGAATTTGGTATTTTGATCTTATATAGGTTGTACTGATGTACTTTCTTTATGTTGTTTATTAACAATGCATCTAAAAATTTGTTTTTAAAATTTTCTTTCAGTCGACTAATGGACTGAGCCGACTCTAGGGATGACAGTTTAGCTGTACTTTAAAGTTAAAGTCGTACCCTAGTTGAGTCCAGCTCAGTTCAGAGTTCAAAATGTTTTGGATAAAAAACCATTGGTTGGTCTGGGGTAATCTGATTTTGCGATCGACATTCATAGACTAGCAATCTGTATTCCATTGGTCGAATCTTTAATAGAACACCAAATTCTTAAGAGATATTACATATGACGATTGTACAGATTCTTTTTTGGAAAAAAATTCATTTTGTTCGTTTATTGGCTTAAGCATTTCTGAAATGTAGAGCAAGAAATAGAAAAAACTACGTATTCAAGTTAAAAAGGACTGAATTTTTATTCAAAAAAATGTCCTAACATCTTGGGCAGTTCGAATTCTACTCCTATAAAAAGCCAGTTTGGGTGCGGGCATCAATATTTGTTTCATCGATTTCCCCACTCACATTCGAAATTGATTAATAGATAGTAAGATATGAAACCCGATCAACAGGTAGCACAGAATTCGAACAGATAATTATTATGTGAAAAAACATATCAACTGGTTCGAAAATTTTTACTTCGTGCAGAGTTGATAAAAATTACATCATTCGAAAGAGCGTAAAAAACTGAGTATATGCTGAAATTTTCACGAAGGGGTACCCTCTAGTCCCAAGCAAAAATTTTCGGAACAAGATTCTCCAGCAAGAGACCATGTAAATTTTTTTTTCTCTCTCGTTCTTTTTTTTTTTATGCACACGCGCAAACGTTCACGTATACGTGAACGTTTGCGCGTGTGCATAAAAAAAAACAGACCGAGAGAGAAAAAAAATANAAAATAGATTATGACTATATGAACATAATCAGATTAATAAAGTTGAATAAAATTTCGATAAGAATAATTGAAATGAAGAATAATATTCCAGTTTGATAGTTTTATCGCTCTCAATAATTTATCGGCTAGAGTAATATTTTCCAATAATACGTTAAAATGTAAACACAATACATAATCGAATATCAAGATGCAACTTGATATTGTTTATTTATTTAGAATTTTTCTTTTTTTTTTCTTTAAAAGAATAAAATTGAGTAGCCGGAATTTCGCCAATAAGATTTTCGCCAATATGACTTTTATCAGTACCCACGACACTGCACAACATTCTTTGTGATTCTTTCGGAAAGGTTTCACTATCTTCTGAGAAGCTCAAGGACTTTCGACAATATCTACCCTCATTTTCCTGCAATTTCGCCAATATTGGCGAGAGTCTTATTGGCGAAGAGCGGCGACCCCATAAAATTTAGAAAATATTCCTTTAAAAATAATAGGTTGAATTAATGTACAATGACTAA